ATATTAGCAATGAGTTATGCATGATACTTTTCAAAATGACACAAAGCGGAAATTCTTGCTCTTGGTCCATTTCAAGTGTAAAATTGTGCATCAGGTCTTGTCTTCACCGATTTCCATTCTGGAGATGAGTAAATTAAGTGAATGTACTCACTACTTCACTCACTAGAGAAGCTGCATTAATTTTACTGAATAACTGAGGAGCAAAATACTTGTCATTTGCCAGCATGGGTGATATTTGGCACATGGATAATATCTTGCTATCCACCTAGGGATATGTGTACTTTGTATTTATTTATTATTTTTTTTCCTTCACGTTCCCCAGTGGAACATAGGGCTTCAAGCTAGTGGCTTGAAGTTTCTGTAGCAGTGCTTATTTTACAGGATGGGGTTGCTAGCCTCATGCCTAACCTTTCCTCTTCACCAGCGTTATTTCTGGCTCAGCGAGGTAAAGGAGTGCGTCGGCCGGGGATCGAACCCCAGACCATGTACATGGTCGGCGAGCGTCCTAACCGCTATACCACCGATGCACACATGTTTACTTTGTAGCAGTTATATTTTCTACATTAATGTTGCAGAGCATATCTATTTAGCTTCTCGTGTTAGATTTGGCAAGCAGTAATGAAGTAGGGGAAAAAAAATCAGTCCTTGAGATAGTCAAGCTCTATTGACGATGATGTCTGGAACATAAGTGTTTGTTGAGAACTGTTTTCCGAGGTTAGATTTAACAGGAAAGGAGTTAAGGGTAGTTCAAAAAAGCCTCGTCGCTTGCTGACCTGAGTTATGTACAGGCGTACACTGACCAGTTGGGTTCTTCCAGTTGCTATCAATAAGTGGTTGGGGAATCTTTCGTGACGACTGAAAATCGTTTACAATAATACATGTATTTATGCATTATTTTCTTCCAGATTCTGAAAATCTCTGCTGAGTATCAACTCGTAAATCTCGCACCTGTTTATTTTCATTTACTGTAATATAATCATGCCTGTTTTCTTTACTTCTATGTGTAATTTTTCGGTGTGGAGACCTGTTCTAACAGTTGTGCAATGTCCTACGTTATCCTGTCTTTGACATCGTTGCCACAGACATTTTACATCGACGTAAGACTTCAAAGTCGGTAAAATTGTTAGTCGAATGGTAATATTTTGTAGTGACACAATTATGACTGAAACTAGTTAAAGGTTGATGAAATGTATTGTAGTCTATGTTATTTTTATGTATTATTCTAACGAATAGCAAGAGGTTGCTTGTTATGCTATCAATTTCAGGGGGTAATTTATATATGCTCTTGGTTTACTTACTATATAATTGTTGCAGAATGATTCCAATGGTTCGGAGGTAACAGTAAACGTTAAATGTACAGTCGACATTATGGAACGTTGTATGCGCACTCTTGAACTGTTGGATTCTGTTCGATTGCCTTATGATTGTGAAAACGAACGAACTTGTCGCAAACAACTAGTGGACACAATACAAGTAGGTCTTGAAAGTCCTTGTTAGTACTTGATTCAATTTTTAAGTGACACTTAATTTCTTAGTTTATGTGACTATAATTATTAATAGTACATATTTTGCTGTCATTTTGAATATTAGCATATTTTTAAAAAGACTAAATGCATGCTTTGAATAAGTAAATGACACTATATACTAATTAGTTGAGATGAGTATTTGGATACCACTTACATCAATCAATAATGCTTGCTAACCAGACTAAGCATTTCTTTCCTTGAGACTGTAGAATTGTAATGTTTGTTCTTTTGGTGAAATTCTACTTTGGAGTATTCACTTGAGGTACTTATATCAACAAGTGCTGATGCTTTTTATAACCACGTAGCCAAATGTACTGTCGATAGGAATTTACTTTCAAATAAGACAGATCAATAAAGTAAAATTCTAAACGGCATGATTCCAGTCACCTTATTTACCATACAATAGAGGTTTGGACGGTGGGAGTTTATTCATTGTTTAATTAACCGTACTTAAAACGTCACACCCTCTCACTCCGTAGCTTCATTTACCACGAAGAGTATCACTAAGGTGAGTAGCCTAACACGTGGCTGATGGATCAAGGTAGACATTTTCACAAAAGCTCATCAGTCCAAATCGCCATACACTGTAAAAGCACAAAACAGAATGACAGTACAACTGAAAAACATATGTATGATGACTTACTTATTTCAGGATAAAGCACACTGTTTTGCAATAAACCTTGGTCCTTTAGCATTTGTCTGTGTTGCTTCCACAAATGGTTCACCGAGAGGAAATTTATAAGATCATTCTTCTCCCCGTTAAGTAATAATCTAAAGTTAGTAACACTTCCCAGGTATTGGAATCTTCAAGGTGCCAAATTACTCTCTTCTGTACGATCAGACAAGTAGCAGAGTTTGCAATTTTTTTTAACATCACTTAAGGTTTCAGTTGGTATGGGTTTCCCCGATTTTTTCGATTATTGGGACTGTTCTGTGTGCATTTTGACCGTTTTCATTTAACGGGACTATGTCATGTTTCCTTCTAATCAGAAAAATATTTCATCTAAAATGATGTTCGAAATAATTTTATGATTAAGTCGGAATGGAGAATGCAAACTGAATAACGTAGACACAGTGAAATAGTTGATCGAAACCGTAACACGTTAACAAGCCTTTTGTCTGTAAGTTGTTACTTTGATGACGGACCTGTAAGTCATTTCTTCCAGTGACGTAAATTTAGTTGCTTTAAATGAGTCATGAAATGCAGTTACTGTTAGACACCAAACAGAATGGCTCTTTCTGAGAGTCGGTCAGTGGTGAAGTGGAAACCTATCCAAGAGTTCCATTTGAGTAACGGATGATTATGGAACATATGATATAAGAGTATATGTATATTTCCGTCCTTTGTAGGAACCCTAAGCCTTCAATAAATAAGTCCAGTCCCAAGGAATCATGTCACTTAAATGTTTCAGCCTACATTATATGCCTGATGTGATACTTTTGGATGTTGTTGGTATTAATCAATCAGGGGAACTTATTTTCCTGAAACAGACTTTCCATATATTAGGCTGCGAGCCATTCGTATTTTATGAGAGCTGATGGCACTACCCAGTTGATTATACTGAATTGGGTGGGGCGAAACTCGAACTCAGGACCCACTGTGTGAAAGTTAAGTGTTTAAGTCAATGTCTCAAGCTGATTACAGCATTCTTGACTTTTGCAATATTGAAAATCCTGTGTTAGTGCCTATTGCAGTTTGTAACTTGATGTTTAGGCAAGTGAGAAATAAATCAAATTCACAGTTTGCAATCTACACAGTTCAGGTGGTGAAATTTCACTGTAATTTCCTTTGGAAACTAAGTTATTCAGATCACATATTGATATCTGCTTGATACCATAAGTGGTAATCAAGGAAGCAAGCATATTTACATGAAACTATATACTACTGATTGGATGAGATGAGCAAAATGGCCGTCCAGTGTTTAGATCACCTCGATCTGGCTAGCAGGCACTGCTAGTTGATGAGTGGTATGCAACTACTTATCCCAGTCAATTAGTAGTATATAGTTTTGTGCAAAAGTGAATTGGTCTTATCAGATTGTTGGGGTTAATTAAACTTATGATTAAATCTATGAAAGGTCCAGTAACTGTAAACTATTTTTCACACTAACTTATGTAAGTCTAAACACTTCTCAGGTATGTTAGAGATTTTTGTGTACTAATAGCTGGGGTCAGGTGAAATATCGTTTTATTCGCTAACTGGACTACTATTTATTTCCATCATTGTATTGTTCTATTACCTCGTGCGTCGGTGGCATAGCGGTTAGTACGCTCACCGACCATGCATATGGTCCGGGGTTCGATCCTCGGCCGGCGCACTCCTTTACCTCACTAAGCCAGAAATAAAGCTGGTGAAGAGGAAAGGTTGGGCATAAGGCTAGCAACCCCATCCTGTAAAAATAAACACTGCTACAGAAACTTCAAGCCTCAAGCTTGAAGCCCTATTTTCCACTAGGAACGTGAAGGAATAAAAAAAATTGCCACGTGTATTCCATCTCTCATTGCTTTGCGTTCCGAGTGGAGCGTAGTGAAACGGTAAAAGACGAAGAGTTCGTAAGTGAATGTTTATTTGGAGGTTGGTATCTCTATGTAGCCAAATTACGTATACCTTATCGTCAACGCACCATTTGCATAGATCTTCGTGTTGTGTTTCTTTGTGTTCCTTTCACGTCCCCCATGTATCTCCACAACGCCGTATCATTCACCTTCTCTGACATCAAATGTATCTCCCTGCTATTTGATATTTTTATGCCGGTGAACATCTCTTTATATACTACTGATAAATCTTATCAGTATCACTCTCCACAATAGAGCTTAGAGCTTGAACTTTCGAGTTTCAGTAGCGGTGGTGCTTTTTCATGGCGTGTGGTCGCTAGACTTACACCCAACTTTCCCTTTTCATCAGTCTTACTTACTACTGGTTAGGCGAAGTAAAGGAGTGCGTCGGCCGGGAGTCGAACTTGGGACCACTTGTGTGGTTTGGCTGGTATTCTACCGCACGGTGTATTGTAGTATTTATTCTCCTGGTATTTTTCAACAACTCTGAGCTCTTCATTTTTATCCAGCTCTTCAGGGTGGTAGTGTTTTCATTATTTGTCACTCTTTTTCACTGTATACGATAATTATCTAATCAGTTACGTGGAGGTTTCTACTCTTTTTTTGCTGTATAAACTGGTAGTTAATTTTTGGCTTCTATATTCCCTAACTTAACCCTTTTTTCCAAATTACTTTGCAGGAATTTCTAGTGCAAGCAGACAAATTGAGAGGTGAATTTCTAAAGTTGGCAAAGACTAAAACCTAACAATCAACACATCCGGTTTTCACGCTTCCACTTGTTTTGTTGATAAAAATAACAATATCAATTGTGTACAATATATTGTATTTGTTATACATTGAAAAAGTTTTTTTTTTAACTGTAAAAAGGCATACAAAGTAAACAATATGAGAAGACACAGTATGTTATCTAGTTTCAATTGTGGAAAGAATTAAAGATTTCTAGCTTTCTTTTGTGTTATAATATTTGTTGTTCTGTCATTGGATTTTCTGTCATAGCTGTAAGGCAATAGACCTGTAAACAAAGTTAAATTAGTTCGATTAAGATATTTAGGTAAATTTGCATTCAAATATATCAAACAATACATCAATCAGGGTAGTGCTATTGCTTTGAATGAAGTTATTGAAGACAATGTTTGATGTATACAAGCAGACTCAAGTAGGACAAGTGAATAATCATTACGTAATGTGTACCAATAATCGAGTGTATGTAATTTACTGTGTTTATAGTCATGCGTCCAGCACTTCTCTAGAACTGTAATTATATCTCTGCTAATATCATGCAGTGACAGTTCTAAGTATTTTTTAAGTTATATATATTTAGCAGGATTTTAGACGTGTAGCATAGGATCCTTTACCATGTGTAGGATGCAGCGGCCTGTAGTATTATTAGTATTACCATACATAAATGTTCTCTTACTTTTTATGTACTAAACTACTACGAGTGGAGTATTCGTTAGTGAGAATAAAACTAAGCTGTCACTCCCTAATTTTATCCTAGAGAAATTCTTTAAAAAATAAATCTCGTGAACTGGTATTTTTTTAAAAAACGAAAGCTAATTACTTCTCTAAGGATAACTAGGACCAACTCACGACTGTCTTATATTAATGATGGATGGCATGAATCGGTTACATGCTTTCGATGATAGGTTGTCCTTGTAGCAGCGCTGAATTGTGGTGGTAATGATAGTGAGTAAGATTGTGAGCATGCACTAAGGTCCCTGTGGTGGATTTCACATGTCATGGAGTGATAGCTGCAGTAGTATCCAGCTAAAAGAAGGTAAGCTTGGATGAACTAGTACATGATTGTTGGGTGTAAAGGGATCTGAGATTTAGGGAGCAAGTAGTTTGTGATATGATTCTATATCAGTAACGATGGTGCAGATGATAGACTGATGACCTGTCATCCAGCAGTCTGAATATCATTCACCAGCTCACTGATGGCTACTGGATTGATTTCCTGAAACTGCATTGGGAAGTCATGACCAGTGGTGTCCACCACGTCAAAGTGAGTGTATGCTCGTCGAAGCTATTGGTGAGGGCAGCGCTATATCCCGGGTTGACGAAGTCAGAATTCAGGGGTCACTGAATCCCAGCAAAAGTGAGTGAATGGTCAACGAGCCTGGTCTCGTAAGCTGAAGGTCCTGTTCGATCCGATCCTCGTACTGGTTATGGGTGAGCAATGCTGAAGAGTCCCAAAATAGGACGAATCAGCTGCCCAGTGCTCCCTGGTTTTCAATAATCTCTAAGCGATATTGATTCGTGACGGAAATCTAGCAATTGAAGTTATCTATCCTCTGTAAAATTAGGGTCGTAACTAATCTGTGCGTCGGTGGCACAGTGGTTAGGACTCTCGCCGACCATGCACATGGTCCGAGGTTCGATCCCCTGCCGACGCACGCCCGATATCAATGGTCGGCCTGCAAAACTTGGGCTACCGATATCCATGCCGAAAATTCCATACTTGTACTGAAAATATGGTGTGGCATCAAGCTGTAATCAAAAGTAAAAAATATTCTAATACTTTAATTATCTATGTTCTTTCGCGAAGTGCGACAATTTGAACTGATTTCGACGTATATAGATTTTCATCTTGATCTGTTTGTCTACTACATGTCACCTGAGATTTAAACAGTGCTTGTAGTTATAATATTTGTAAAGCAACAGAAATACGCATCTATCGTTTTGAAGTTCATATAGTCAGCGCATAATGTCAAATCACTTTTGTACAGATTACAAATGGCATTTTAAAGTATTACTCACCATATCGTTAGGATATATTAATGTTTTAGGCTCTGGTAGTGTGTAAACAAATCGTTCAATTCTTGCACTGACTTCATGGGCATTTTCATATGATACATCTTCTCTTGTATTTTTACTGTCTTCAACTCGACGATATAGACCAACTGTTATGGTTCCAGTATTCACCAACACAGTATGAAACAGTTCATTGAATGTCAAGATTCTCTGTTTAGAAAAGAGAAAAAAGTACCAATTATATCACTTGGTTTGAGATATTATCTGACGCTACACCAACAAACTTCCTTAAAGTCTAATAAAACTTATACTCATCTTTCTACTCTATACAAAGTGAGTTAAAATGTGCTTCTGTAATAATGCAATCTAGGATACTAGTTGTCAAGTTTAAAATTATACTGTTTATCTTATTTATAAACTCGTACGTAGTAGAGTACATCCCGATCGCTTACACAGCACATTAAAGCACGTAGTTAACAAACAAAAGTACATTTGCATTAAACTTTCTAACTTTATACACACTTGAAAAGCACAGTGTAGTATGAATGGGTTGTTGAATTATTTTATCATTTAGGCTGTAATTACAGTTATTTGCTTGTGTCCAACTACTACCACTGAGACTCATAATTCCCACCTGCAATTGGTCACATTTTGTAGGTTCTATGTTGATTTAAGTATTTAGTATTACTATGAAAGAGGGTCATTACGCTTTAAAACAAATCAAGTTACTGAGTTTTAGTGTATGCGTGAAAATCATACTAATGCTGAATGCAATCGAATGTACATTTCTTACCTGTGATGCCAATTGGTGGAGATCACTATTCAATTCTTCGAGTGGGACTAGTAAAAGTTGAGATAAACGAACTGTAACTTCATCTCCTGTAAATGAAACAAAATCTTTGAACTTTGTTTTGAAACAGAAGTCATTTTACAAATTATATGAACGCACTTTTCAATAAGGTGAACAAATATTCTGATAGAGGATTTCATCATAAGCTGACATCAGTTAGAGAACCATTGGACAGCCAGCTGTTTCGTCAGCCTAGTTTGGGATTCTTCATCAGTACGCTATGCCGTGAATTAGCAGAAGTTAGAATTCCTTGGGCTGGCCATCGGATCGGGTCCCAGTGGCTCAATGGTCTACGAGCTAGCTCGCCTTGTAAATAGAGGTCCTGGGTTCGAACCCTGGCGGTGGGTGCGCACTGATGAAGAGTCCCATACTAGGCTGATGAAACAGCTGGCTGTTCAGTACTTCCTGTTGGTTTTCCAATGGTTCTCTAACTGATATCAGCTCATGATGAAATCCCCCATTCAATCAGATACAACCCCTACAAAACCAATACTTGAAAATATTCTGATATTTGTCTAGTTCCTTGAGATTCCGGAAACTATTAGAATACTTCGCAACAACAGTACTACATATAGCATAGAATGGCAAATTGTTATACATATAAAGTGGGATGACGGTCGAGATATTGATGATTCTGACTGGGATTACTGATGCAGAAACAATCATATGCATTACGTCTTCTGAAATTAGATAAATTAGTTACCCTTAGTACTCTCTCTAGTTTTGAGTTATATAGTATGCAGTTTATGTAACCTAAAAGTTATACCATATATTTTAAGCGATATTATTATCATCATCCCCTTGGATTCCATGTGGAACATGGACTTCAGCAACATATTGCCGTTTCCCTCTGTTCACTGTAGTCTTCTTTAGCTAGCTCCACTACCACCCGTCGTAACCTTTCATTTCCACCCTCATACGATCTACTACATATCACCCTCAGACTCACGCCCCACTCGTCGTCTTACATTCGGGTTCCACTCGAGGGCTTGGAGTGCGATGTCACTCAACGGTCTTCTCAGTGTGTGTGTCCAGTCTACCTTCATTTCTCTATCTCTCCATATTTTTAAGCTAATAGGTTTTTGATTGGTTCGTTGTCAGACTTCCGTGTTGCTAATCCCTTCTGCCCCGCCTGATCCTCAGTATGAAACGAAAGCAACTGTTGATACAAGTTTGCAAATGGCCTGTTGGAAATGCTTTTGGTGACGCTCACACCAACTTTCTGAACCATATCGAAGCACTGACTAACTTGACATTAATGTTGACAGTCCAAATCTTGTTCTTTATGCTGAGTGTGGAGGATTTCCAAACTGATTTCAGAGCAATGAGGGTCTGTCTTCAAATTTCTCCCATTAATAGTCATTGGTGCTTGTTGTTGTTGTTGTTTTTGATTGGTGGGTATCTTCATCGAATCTCTCTTCTGTATGTTCAGCTGAAGTCCTATTTTCGCTACTCACCTATTCTCTCAACTTGTTGGTTTTCGCCTTTAAATCTTCGAGTTTATGTGACATCAGACATAAGTCATTCACGATGTCCTGATCAGTCCAACATATTCCAGCCTTCTTGCTCCCTACGATCCGTTGCATGATCTAGTCCCTCACTGTCAGAAATATCACCGATGGCAGTAGGCGACCTTGTATTCACTTCAAATGCTTAGCTGAGTTTTCCACTTTGAATCACTTGGTATGAAACATTAATCATATAGCTGTTGAGTGAGGTTGATAAGCGTTTGGGGGGGGGGATTCCATAGTGTTGAAGCAGTATCCGAATTACTTCATGGTCAGCGCTGTCGAAGGCCTTGTCAAAGTCGATCAAGTTGACGTAGACAGTTGACCGTCATTATATGTTCCATTCAATGATGATGAGTGGCGTTTTGCAATTTTCTTGAATCCATCTTGTTCCGGGGAGAGTTCTGCATCCAAAGCATCATTTATTCTCTTCAGGTAGGCTGATCACTAGTAGGTCAACTCGCGTGTTTCCTCTTAAGACTGCTAGCATTATTCAGATGTCAAATTGACAAAAGGTCGGTTATTTTTTAGCTTACAATATGAAGTATATTACTTATTACGGGTGTTTTGAAACTGTATGAACGCCTCTTTGAACATCTGGTACATTTACCAGTCAGCGACAGATCGATGTAATACCAATACTCCATTATTAACATAGTAAGTAGATCTGAAAACCCCAAGGATATACAACTAATACTTGTATTTATTTGGCACACACCTTAGGAGAATTTACATACCTAAAGCAGTAAATATTTTTGAGTAAAATTCATAATTTGTGAGGTGCATACTACCGAATGATATGAGTAGATGGAAGTTTTTTTATTCCTTTAAGCTCCCAGTGGAACATAGAGCTTCGAGCTACAGGCTTGAAGTTTCGGTAGAGCAGTGGTGTTTATTTTTACGGGGTCGGGTTGTTAGCCTCATGCCCAAGCTTCCCTCTTAACCAGTCTTATTACTGGCGTAGCGAGGTAAAGGAGTGCGTCGGCCGGGAGTCGAACCCCAAACCACATGCGTGATTAGAGAGCATTCCACCTCTGTGCCACCGACGCACAGTGTGACTAAGTAACTGGCCAGAATTCAGATGGTCTGAAACAATTCTGATTTACTCAAGGTGTACTTCTGATAAATTCCGTCACAAACAACAGAAACAGCCATTTGGCGTTCAGAAAACGTCAGTGTGGCTTGTAGGAACTACTAGCTGACATCAGTGGTTTCCAACTACTCAAATAAGCCAGTAGTATATACCATCCAGCAAATATTTTCCTTATGATTTAAACTATCACTGTTCTATATTTGAAGTCGGCCAAGTTAAACTTTAAGCACCACTAACTACCAATCAGCGAATGACCTCGAACGCACCAATCACGTGAAGGAGGTATTTTTGTGTATGAAATACATGTATTTATGAAAAAAAATGCATAAAAACTGTAGAAAAGTGTTACAGAGGATACCTTCCTCTCACATGTGATAAAAATAGCTGTCAGTTTTAGGTTCGAGTATCAACAGAGTATAATTCCATTGTGGGTAAACTTTATTTTGATAAAGTCTCATAGTGTAATAGAGTAATATTTACTGAGCAATAAATTGTGCTCGAAACGCGGTCATCAGTAAACATTACTGTATAACACTGTAAGAATTTATCAAAATAATAATTATACTCTACCGCCACAGTGCCCAAGTTCTATTCTTATATCAACAGAGTAATTTAACCACATCCTATGCATGTAATTATTTAGGTCTTCTGACCCTAACAATAACCCTAATCTTTCCTGAACCTAACCCTAACGTGAAAATATCCCTAAACTAACTGTAATCTAACTCGAACCAACCCTAATGTCACCTTTATTAGGTTAACCTAACCCTAACTTGTCCTTGGCTTAAAGCGTAACTTAATCTTTCCCAAACCTAAGCTGAAACTTGCCAGATATCCCATTTAATAGCATAACACTTCGATGAGCATATTTTATTGATGATGACAACATTATTTGCCAGGTTTCACTAATTTGCTCAGTGAGCGTTTCAAGGTCATTGGTGCGGTCGCACTCCATTGGTAGTTGGTGATACTTAAAGTTTAACTTGGCCCTGAAGTCAGTTATGTTACTTTCCGTCTACCTTAAAATCAAATGTGCCTTACTTACTATAGTGTCATTATACGATAAATCCATACTGCGAGCTATGGTTTCTCCTACCTATCAAGATATCCTTCTTCATTCCAACTAATCAATCAGTGTCAATAGATGTTATAGAAAATTTGTTAATTCACAGCATTTCATCACTAACCTGTTTCAGTTTTATAACTTAAAAAGCTTTTGACATTGATTTGTTCATTATCTGTTACTTGATCACTGGTACTGCTTATCTTCTCCTTTGCATTGTCTATATCACTGAAAGTCTCACCAGCTGTGCTTCTACTACTTTCCATACAATTATCATTCAACTCGTGTGATTTCAGCTCAGGATCAAAGTGAAATAGCTTTTTCAATAAATTATTATCTTTAAAAAATACTTTAAACTGTTCAGTGGTTACTGAGTCAAAATCAGATCCAATAGTTGTTAAAGTGTTCTGTGTATCTTTTGAATAAACTTGATTATTTGTATTATGTATGACATTATTATTATTATTATTAACTTCATAGGATGAATTCCCAGTTAGATAATCTGGAAACATCAGTGTACTGACAGGTTGACCTCTTAGTCCTGGAAAGAAACCACTATCAATAGCGAATACTTTTTCCACTTCATGGCCTGGTCCACCGCCTAGTATAGTTTCAATAAATGTTATAACAGTTGGATCGAATAGCACCTGAGCATGAAAAATAAAAAAGAAAGACAAATCAATAATTTTTCAAGAGTTCATTTGTAGGAATTTGATTTGTTTCAGGTTTGAGCATAGATTGATATCATTTAGAGAAAAACTGAAAACAGGAAATTATTGGACAGCTGTTGAATCCTAGTTTGGGACTCGTCGACAGTATTTCCTAAAGTCACTAACTGGTAGAAGTTAGAATTCATTGGCTTGCCACTTAGTCTAGTCCCAGTGGCTGAATGGCTTAGGAGCTTACCTTGTGAGTGGAAGGCCCTGGGTACGAGTCCCAGTCAGTGCATACTACCGATAAGTCCCAAACTAGGACTCAACAGCTTTCCAGTAGATCGTGGTCTTCCAATGGTTCTCTAACTGATACCAATCCGTAGTCAAAACTGAAATAATTGATTAACTATGCGAATTTATATTCGAAGTGGAACGTTGATTGTTTTCACTCTGAAAATCGCTTCCTAAACCACTGTTCTTTTTACTTGTTTTGTTGAAAATGCATGAGTGACATTCTGAGTTCTACAGTAGTCATATGCGTTGAAAGTGTCTAAGTCATAGATCGAATCACTGTTATCCGTGATTGATTCATAGGACTCACCAGTCACACATGCTAACCAGAAGTCAGTGTGAACCCGGATAACTTTTCAAATCCTACTGGTTAACAGAAGATGGTGATTTGTTTTTCTCCAAGGCAAGATGTCACGTTCTAATCTGTGAAACTGGACTTACTTTTTTTCTACCGGGATTGTAAGAAATTTAACTACAGACAAGTTTCATTATTTTATTCTTTCTCTACAGAATTTTCAGTGATTTAAGATTATTCTTTTTCCTAAATGTCGAAATGTCACATGTGAAAGATTCAGTTAGTACAAAATTTGCAGTTCATTGTAATGTTTGAGAATTCAGTTGCATAAAATAAAGCAACTTTGCAATGATGAAGTTGAATTTTCCGCACGCCTTTTTTACCTAGATATCTTTTAACCTTCATTGTGTATCACTTGTTACCTATTCTGGTGTAGGCAAAATTATCAGTAAATAGGAGTATCGTCATTCAGAGTACTGACGAAGAGGCCCAAACTAGGACGAAACAGCAGTTGAGTAGTCCCAAGTTTTTGAATGGTATTCCAATCGATGTCATTTCATGATGAAATCCCAGCAAACAAAAAGTTGAATATCCCTAATTTTTGTTATACTTCTTAGTCTCATAAGGTTTTAGCCATGACTTTTATGAAAACATAATAAATTGAATTATATAGCACATATAAAAGTGATAGTCTGACATTATCAGCATACTTTTACCAGCAGTGACCTTCAATAGTGTTGATGACCCGTTGGAAAGTATGCCTTCTTATCTTTCACAGGATTTTGTAACTGAAGCGTCACACTATAGGATTGTGTACTACTATATTATTATTATTATCCTGGTAAGGTATTCACTCTTTTTACTGGAAGCAAGTGTAACTATGTATCTACTGTACTATTCTAGAATCTGTCTGAGTAAACACCAGAAACACTGATTGTTAAATAAATGTTTGCTGTTTTGTCGGTTTTGGATGTTTCTTATGAAGAGTTGAATTTAAGATTCAATATCGGGTAATATTTCTCTTTGTCGACTGAAGTTCGTTTCCCGAAATACGTTCGCATTTTTAGTTGCCGTGTCTTCATCATGTTGCGTTCTTTTTTAAAGCTTTGATAAATCTCTCTTTCAAGGTCTCAAATGTCCTATCTCTTGTTGAATTCTAGAACAATATCTTTTTATTTACATTATCAGGTGTCTAGAAATTACCTCTGGGACTAAGAATTTTACAACAAATCTTCCCAGTTAATTATTTTTTCGTAAACATCAACCTAAGAAATTCCTATACATCGTATAAGTTGTTAGATATACAAATTTGTTAGGTTCATCGAAAAAAGAATGAACTTTAATATTTTTTTTAATAGTATGAACCCAGCTGAGAAAACGGATTATTTGTTTATTCCGTATAGGTTTCCAGGTAAATAAATTTTTTTAGGTGTTATATCATCTTTTCTTCTCAACAAAATATTGAGGAGTGGTATCGCTGATTGAGATTTCAATGTCATCTTTGAAGGAGTGTCATATTACTATGAATGTACCGTCAACATATTTGTTATAACTTAAACCATTTGACAAGTGAATTGAGTAAAAAACAGTTTTCTTTCTAAAAAACAATTTGGAACAAAAACAGATATACTGGAAGTGGAATTAATGAAGCCTCAAGGGATGAATTTTGTTTTTTCTCTAAAATTCTTTCTTTTATAACTGTTTGACCGTATTCTAATCTGTCAGCATTGAATGTTGACTTCCTATGAATATTAACTCTGTAATATTGTGGTGAGAGCTGTCTGCTAGCCAAAATTGGTAGACAGCAATTTACGTCAATGTTTACGTCCCAAATCTTGGTCATGAGAAAAAGCAAAAACAAAGACTAACTCAACAACCAATCACAGCAGACTTTGCGTGGGCGGATGCGATCGGCAGATATATGGTCTGACCTTCAAAGAAACGGCCACAAAGAGATGACAGAATAACTTCCAGTGAGAAAACAACCAATCAGAAGACGCTGTTTCTGTGCGCTAATAATAACGAATAATAATGTACTTAAAAATCTATAAATATCTGTTGATTTCCTCAATAAACGATCTGTTGCCTTGCCCTTGTCTTCTGTCGTTACAATATAGTTAAACCTAAAGGAGATGTTTCAAACTTGAATTATACATATCAAAATTGAAAACCAAATTCGATAAAACACTATCATTATAGTAAATATTAGGTTTCAGAAAATATCAGAATACCTCATCCTTTTTAAAAACAATTCAACATACATTAGATGAAAGACTATGCAGGACATTTGACTCCATAATATTTCCTGAAGCAATTAATGGGCTGAAGTAGGTAGATCCATTCTTTGAAGCAGTTGATAAAAGACTTGCATTGTGTAGGTCGTCTGAAATAGGGAGAAGAAAAGTTTTAATTGTACGGCTTTAATGTAAAAACAAACAGTTGAATATTTTCCTGAATATATACTCGGTATCATACACTAAGAAGTATTTTATAGGTTGTTGAAAAGTTTTATATGGTTCATAGATTCACTGTTGACATTTTATTTAGAATATATTACAGTCATATCATGGGTTGATTGAGATAGGATTGACTCAGTTAATGTAGGGAGAAATCTGCCTGCCAGTACCTTAATTTTTACTAGTAGAACAGCTAATATTCATTTTGTGGTAAGAGCTGGTTGCAAGCCAAAGTTGGAGACAACAATTTGCGTCAATGTTCACGTTTCACATCAAGGTAATGAGGAAAAAACAATAACAAAGCTTAACCTTGAGAAAATCACCACCCAATCACAGAGGAGTCAAAGTGTGGAAATATGATTCGCATATATATGGCCTAACTTTCTAAGAAACGGCCACAAAGAGATGACAAAATAACTTTCAGTGAGAAAAAACCCAATCAGAAGAGGTTGCTTCTCTGCTAACAATAACGCTTATAATAATACACATAAAAATCTGTAAATACCTCTTGATTTTCTCAATAAACAATCTGTTGCCTGGCCCTGTCTTCTGTCGTTACAATTTTACAAAAACACAGGTCTATAGAACATTCATTTTTGTTAATGGAAATAAAATATCATAATATCAAAAAAAATTTGGAATAGATTTGTGATTACTAGCGTAACAGTAAAATGCAAGTTTAGGTAAGATCTAGATGGTCTTATCCTTGAGAGTGTAGCTGCCTTCATTAAAAGCACTTCACTAGTCACTACTAATTTAGTTTATATGTTAGTTTGTTTGTTAGGCATATTACGCAGTCCAACAGTGTCATGTATTGGGTAATTTAGTAAGTGGTATTATGTAATCTATTTAACGAGCAAACCAGCATGAAGTGCCTAAGTTCTCCTATAATATACATATATTTGTACCCCACTATAGGTGACTACTTGACAACTATTCATTTGCCAATAGGAGGATATTACTGATGAGTCGTCAATGTCTACAAGACAACTGTGGTATTAAATGACCAAACCATTGAGTAATTTCCGTTTTTTTAATGGAATTTCGCCTCACTCTTTCATTATCAACCCGTAGTTATAGTTTTATGGTATAACTAGTTGACTGAGATTGTTTCTGTTGATAACTGGGGTTATAATCGAAATGTAAGAAAAGTAAAATATACGTTACAACTGTTTACTAGCCAAGTACAGAGTCCGAAGCGCGATTTCAAGGCAATTTCATTTTAAAACTAAACAATATTCAGACTGGAATAGGTGGCCCGCTTGACAGCATAAGTAATATTGAGAAAGTGTGCAGGAATGTTATGAAATACATATTCCCTAATGATATCAATGGTTGGAAACCACTACAACCAAACAGTGTTGCTCATTAGCCAGATCAATGTGATCTAAATACCTGACAACTGTCTTGCTATTTTGTTTCAATAACATCAGCGGGATACTCAAGGTAATTTTAGTTTAGAGAAGTGAGTTAGTTTATATCACCTGAATTCTAGCTTGTCAGTCGGAAAAACTAGTAATACATGATGAAATTGGTCAACCTAAAGGATAGTGACCACGAAGGGCAAATGCACCAATGACCTTGGATGCATACCATTCACTGGATGACAGGACCTGGCGTTATTACAGAGCCAGTATGAACTCTGTGCACAAATTGATGTGCAAACTTCATCATAATGTCGTTTTCAATTACTGTTTGAACAATGGCTTGATAGCACGTTACTGTTAGGCTTGTGGTTAGGATTAGGGTTGGAGTGTTTTATTATTAATTTTATCTGTATTTCTCTTATAAATAAGTAAACGGGAGGAGAGTGTTTCGTTTTTCATATAGATGGAACTAGTACGATACCTATGAAAACTGATACCCTTGATTGTAGTTGGGATGTATTTTTCAGCTACATCAAGGTAAAATATCCTCTTCAGTGTGTTTCATTATCATCATGTCAATTTTTCACGTAAATAAATGGCTTTTATTATATAATATACGGCAGGTTCTGTAATCCAATGAATGGAAGGCGTTCAAGGTCATTGGTGAGTCCCCTCTCCGCGGTCGCTATTGTTTATGTTTGTCATGAAATTAATTATTTTAAATTCTACAGTCTGAAGTAGAATCTGACCATGGTTTCCTCTAGAAAATTTAATTATTTCAATCACATTATGGGACCTGCTTTATAGTATAAATGATAGTTTGAGTTTAGTCCATCCTTTGAGATGATTCAAGCTGGTCTCAAACAAGCAAAATGTTTGTCTCATTCTTAATTTACCACAGTCAGGTTAATAAGGACTACTGGTTCTCAACTATTGATAGGTATCAGCAGTATGCGTCGTGAATAAAATGTTTAATGTTAACTGTAGAGTTTTTTCTATTCCTTTCCGTTCCTAGTGGAACATAGGGCTTCAAGCTAGTGGCTTTAAGTTTCGGTAGCATTGGTGTTCATTTTTACAGGATGGAGTTGCTAGCCTCATGCCCAGCCTTTCCTCTTTACCAGTCTTATTACTGGCTTAACGAGGTAAAGGAGTGCGTCGGCCGGGACTCGAACCCCGAACCATATGTGGCGTGGTTGGCGAGCATTCTACCGCTGCGCCACCGACGCACACTGTAGATTTGGTATATTGGATTTCTACTTTATACTGATGAGAAATCTCAGTGTAGTTCATAATTCCCTGATCTTTTTACTCAAAATTATTTAACAATTACTGAAACTTAGTTTTATAGACATTTGTATTCTGATTAAATAATATAATATGAAGGAATCAAGTGAAACTGTCTAGTGCTCAAGATACTTCTATAAACTTACAAAGTTCAGTGACAAGCATAGGTTGATTTCGTTCGGTATCATCTAAAATTAATTTTCAAAAAGAAACAAAAAAAACAAGAACAGATTAATTTGTAAGAATAAATCTTTATGCACACAGTACTCTCGACATCTCAGAATATCTGATATACTGTTAAAATCAGAATTATTCACGGATTTAATATATGACGTTTACTGTAGACTTATAAATATATAGAGCGAACTGCTTCTGATGTTCACTCTATTTATGTAGGTAATGAAATGCTCAGATCGCCTTGATCATGTATTTCCATAAAAACTTTACGCGGTATGTTCAGTTGTATCTTGTTATTACAGCTGCAAATAAGCATCTAGATGAAATGATTGAGGGTGTTCAGAGGTACACTTCTGATGTGGTGGCAAATAACTCTTCCTTTAATGGTCTTCGTGTTTACTAGAATTCAGGGTATGGCATAAATATTTCATACACGAATTCTCTTTTATAAATTTGAGCAGAGAGAATAAACATTGGTGCACCAATATTTGTTCTCTGTTGGTATAAATATTTCTCTAAATTCCTAACAGTACTGACACTCATCCCTAAATATTAACAAACTGAGATTTTGTTTTGTGCAGTACGGATATTTGATAACGTTTACACTAAAAATTCCATCCACTGTACTGAATGTAGTTTATGAATTCATGAAATCTCTTGGTTCAAACTACTATTTAATGTTGATTATTTTATTTTATTTATTTATTTATTTACAATACAGCTTGATGCCACACCGTATTTTCAGTACAAGTATGGAATTTTCAGCATGGATATCGGTAGCCCAAATTTTGCAGGCCGACCATTGATATCAGGTGTGCGTCGGCAGGGGATCGAACCCCGGACCATGTGGATGGTCAGCGAGAGTCCTAACCACTGTGCCACCGACGCACAGTTCACCTCAAGAATCAATAGTTTTGATGAACAGTTTCTCCAGAATAGATGAATTATTAACCCTACTGTTATTCAGACGATCATTGCTACCATATCAATAAAATTGTGATGCTACTGAATAATACGGTGTAAAATTTACCAGCTAAGTGATGGGGTGTCAAGTGGCAAGCCGCTGTAACAGTCAGTCTAAACAATCTCAGCAAATTGAAAACTACAGTTTGAGTTGTATGTTGAAGAATGGGATTTATGAGGTCTATTTAAACAACCGTCTGTACACGGATCAACTAGCTGGTGCACACAACTGAGTACTGGGTATTATTCTGATTCAGATATCTTCAAATATCTTGCAAGTATTTTAATAAACTATGTCGTATCAAGTATTGGTTTTGTAAGGATTGTGTTTGATTGGTTGGAGGATTTCATCATGAGCTGACATCAGTTAGAGAACAACTGAAAAACCTGGGAGTACTGCACAGCCGTTTCGTCCTAGTTTGAGTCCCCCCATCAGTACGCACTCACTGAGATTCGAACCCGGGACCTCCTGGTTACAAGGCGAGCTAGCTCGTAGACCACTGAGCCACTGAGATCCGATCCAATGGCCAGCCCAAGGAATTCTAACTTCTGCCAATTCACAACACAGTGTACTGCTGAAAAGTCCCAAACTAGGCTGACAAAATAGCTGGCTGTCCAGTACTCCCTGTTGGTTTTCCCATGGTTCTCTAACTGATTTCAGCTCATGATGAAATCCTCTATGAGAATATATGTTCATCTTACTGACAAGTGCGTTCATATAGTTTGTATAATGACTTCTGCTTCAAAACAAATTTCAAAGATTTTGTTGCATTTTTACAGGAGATGAAGTTACAGTTCGTTTATCACAACTCCTACTGGTCCCACTCGAAGAATTGAATAGTGATCTCCACCAATTGGCATCACAGGTAAGAAATATACATTCGATTGCATTCAGCATTAGTATGATTTTCACCAATACACTAAAATTCAGTAACTTAATTTGTTTTAAGCCGTAATGACACTCTTTCATAGTAATACTAAATACTTAAATCAACATAGAACCTACAAAATGTGACCAATTGCAGGTGGGAATTATGAGTCTCAGTGATAGTCGTTGAACACAATCAAATAATTGCAATTACAGCCTAAATGATAAAATAACTCAACAACCCATTCATATTACGCTGTGCTATTTAAGTCTGTATTAAGTTAGAAAGTTTAATGCAAATGTACTTCTGTCCATTAACTATGTGCTTCAATGTGCTGTGTAAGCGATCGGGATGTACTCTACTACATACGAGTTTATAAATAAGGTAAACACTAGAATTTTAAACTTGACAACTATTGTTGTGTTATTGTGTTATTACAGAGGCACCCTTTTACCTCACTTTGTATAGAGTAGGAAGATGAGTATAAGTTTTATCAGACTTTAAGGAAGTTTGTTGGTGCAGCGTCAGATATTATTGAACCACTTCGCAGTGTCTTCTTCGATGGGTAACTGTCCTCAGCTTCGACCTACTGTGCCCTACTGCCGTATCACAAGTAACTATGTATCAGATGTTAACTGGTACTGAATTCCTAGCCTTCAGTTAGCTAATACTTGGTTAAAAAGTGTTGCATACATTTTAAATGGAGGGGTTACAGTAAGCATAAAGGAAAAGAAGTGAAGTTTAATTCTGAAATAAAGAAACGATGGTATACTTTAATTGCATGAAATTTATTTGACTTATTTAATTCACCATTGGCTATTCTATTCTATTTGTGACTATCAAAAAATCTACCTTGACTAACTTCATTTTCTTAGCAATAAAGTAAGTATTGAATAATATTAGAAAAGACTAGTTAGATAAAAAAAAAATACCAAACAACATGGCTACAGGCATAAATGAACAAATTACTCAGACTGCAAAAATACCTATGAAATAAGGGAATTATTTAAAAAAATAAAGATTATCATAACTTTAGACCAACTTTTGACTATTTATTAAAAGTATTCGATAGTAGTATTGGATATACACAAATTGAAGTATGCGCTGAAGACGTTGCCTAGTAGGGCAATGAAAGCTTCGCAAATTAACTAACTATCCAGCCAGCTCAAAGAACACAACCACATCAAAAACACGAGTTAGTCCACAGTCTCCTAACAAGTAACTGAAAGCTCTCAAAATGTTGGCTGAAATCAGCCCGGAGAATTTGAACAGCTAATCAGCTAGTTAACTTGACTCACTAGTGCACTAGTGCACTTTATTTTATAGGTTTGATCATAAGCTGACATCAGCTGGAGAACCACTGGAAAACCAGGGATAACCAGACAGTGAGAAGTCGTGACCAGCAGGGTCCACCAAACCAGGTAAGAGGATAATTACTCACCGGTGACATTCTCTGGCAGTTGTGCTATATGTGGCAAACTGGCAGAAGTTGGAATTCATAGGCCATTGGATCAGGTCCCAGTAACTGAATTGTTTACGATCTCGCCTTGCAATCAGAAGGTCCTGGGTTCTGACCCTAATGAGTACGTGCTGATGAGGAATCCCAAACCAGGAGGAAACATCTGTGAAGTACTCCTTGGTTCTCTAATTAGTGTCAGCTTGTGGTTAAACCTGTAACTGTTCAAATCACTGCAAGCCAACACTTTAGGACACTTTATTTTAATATGTTAGATAGTACTAATAGACTACTCTGCAAGTAGTTTTCGGGTTCTACTGCAAACATCAATAAAGTACATACAAATTCTTCACTGTTAGAATTGCATACACGGAGTTCTTTTCATTGGATTTGTACAAAAACTATGTTGATTCATTTTAGTATAAATTGTTATCTGTGATTAATCGGCTTAGTATTTTAAAAAAATATTGATAAAAGTCAGCACAGGTGGAGAATAAAAAGTTTAATTTTAAGAAAACCGCTGAACATACTTGTTTTATTGGCTTCAGCTAATAACTGGCGAATATTTAAAGTGCATAAAATACTTTCTTTATCAATCATTAATGATGGTCTTCCAGAAGTATCATGTAAACATGACAGGACAACACAAGTTGAACAAGTTTCAACTCCAGCCGCTCGAAGATTGGCTCTATATAAAGGTGATCCCTAAGTGGTTTTGTTAAATATAACAAAAAGAAAACGGATTATAAACATTCATTTTCAAATTAACAAAATACTAGCACGAATTATGGCCTCACTGATATTTTTTCAGGTATAATCAAAACGAAATTAAACAATATTGATTGTAGAGTAAACGAGATAAAAATATTCTGTATAAACTTTCCGGGTGTGGTTAATTTAATCAGTGAGCGAGTTATTGTTACCAAAATGAGTGAAGAACTCTACTGACAAGGAATTGTACTGTAGGCCTTCTGGTATTCATGAAAAAGAAGTAAACTTTACTCAGGAAGCATATTTCTCCCGCGAACTCTTCCAGGAATATGAACCTATTTTAGTTTTACTCACACTGCCTTTGATAATGCGATCATACATGGTTAAATTCATCTACACATACCTGTTTATCAACTTGTAATGACCTTTCCAATGTTTTAAGTTTTTGTTTTAACGTGTACACATACGGACTGGCGCTAAATTCATTTTTACGCTCTTCCGTTGTGCTGTTAACACACACACATATTCACGGAGTTTTTAATTCAGACGTACTAGTTAGATAAGTTCTAAGTCCCTTTCCTTGAATACTCTTAACTTTTCATTTTATTCAAATATATACTGTCCATTTGAGCACATTACTAACTAACTGAGTCTCCTTGACTTGAGTTTTGTTGTCAGTACTTAAAAGTTACGTAAACTATGTTTAATGAATGTTGGTATAGTGCAGCTAACCTATAGCACTGCCAGTACCTTACAAACTTTTAATGTGTCAGAATAACACGGAAGCAATTTCTGTAGATTGAAGACAGTCCAGTATACAATGAAAAGTTCACTTTAACGATAGAAACTTTCTAATTTCAAGGAGACATTTGGAATAAATGTATTTCAGCTGTAATTTTTAGCGTTGCACCTAACTAGATCTTAAGCTGGAGCTTCACAAACGACTATTTTACAGATTCGGTGATATAATCCATAAGTAGACAAGAATTACGTGGAAACAATGGTACCATAAATTAAGAATGGAATTTAGGCGCGGTGGTAGTATCCAGTACTATATTAGTTTGTCTTTCGCGGTATATAAATGGTATAATAAGTGAACTAAAAGAAGCAGTTATTAATCTTTCCTTGCCATTGTAACTGGATGTTTTTATTCTCTCATTTGATTACGTAATCTTTGGCTTTAACCTCACCTCTTTGATACAGTGTAATTTTGCTTGTCTCTTGTTTCTATGATTTGAGTTGAACTCAGTGCATTGTTACCTAATTTATTAGTCACTCAGCATCTTACGCATCTCTCGTCTTTATTACGTAACTCCTTTACCATTGTATGCATACATTTATTTTTGTTTAAACTTGAACTGCCCGTGCAAGAGCTATATAAGCGCAATTTTCTGAGCACTGTTCACCAATTGTGGAACTTTCTGTCAACTGACATCATGAGAAAAAAATTTGCAAGCTGTAAGCAGCTGAGCTGATGAGAAGCCAACGAAATAAACAATGATGGTAGCATATTATTCTGTACAAACCCCTGTTGTTGTTCTTGCTTTATTCAAACACAGTTTTCAGCCTCACTGATGTTTGTGAGTGTATTTATATGGTTGGCAGCATAATATTTTCATTGAATAGAAATAATACTTTAGAAGGACTATTGTAGACAGGTATTATACGCATTTATTTGTTGTGAGTAGACAACTATATTTGACTTTGCTAAAGACATGGACGCATCATATTATTATTATTGTTTCCTTTAATTCCTAGAGGAACATAGGGCTTCAGCCGTACGTCTCCATTGCGTTCGGTTCTCTGCTACAGTCTTCACCTGGCTCCAAGTCTGCCCACACGCTTTTATCTCCTCTTCACATCACCTCCTCCAAGTCACCCTTGCACTGACGACCAACTCGCCCCTCCCCTTTTCGGGTTCCACTCGAGCAATGGCTTGTCTAGTGATGTCACTTGATGGTTTCCTCAGAGTATGGCCAATCCATCTCCATTTCTTCCTGCCTATTTGTTTCACAATCGGTTCCTGTTGGGTTGGTTCGCTCATTGCCAGAGATCTCTGTTGCTGATCTTTTCTGGCTGGCCATCTGATCTTGAGTATTGAGCGAAGACAACTGTTAATGAAGGTCTGTAGTTTGTTTGAGAGGACGCATCATATACTTTAGCTCAAAACGTATATAATAAACCAAGCAATAGAATAAAACCGTTGTGTAGATGGATAGTTGTTGAACGCAACATGAAGTGAAGTGAAGTCACGTAATACTCAGACACTGAATAAAAATTTCATGAATTAAAATAACCAAAAGAAAATGATTCCATCTATATCAATAAAAGAATTTTTAAAAGTGGACTTTGAAATGAAGACTATTATATAAAAAGAGACTGCTATTTAAAATTCTTAGACAAATAAATGCATGGAACAGTGAAAATAGTTGGACAGAATACAAAAAAACAAAACAAAAACACAACTACTCAAAAATGTCAACTCACTGATAAAACATAAATGCCTGGAAAATTTTTCAATGATCGCCATTCTTTTTCAATAACTTTAGATTCACATACAATAATAATTGGTTTTACTTCTTTAATTGGTATAGAAGTTGATCTTAAAGGGAGGACAAAACTGGCTAGTCCTAGTTTTATGCCTTTAGGCTGTTTTGTGATACAGACAATGATGTGATTTTTAAATTGACACGGAATCATTGCTTTCATTGTCTACAAAGATAGAGTAGAAATATTGAACAAATTGCTTGAGTGGAAAATTCTTTTAATACACTAAAATAAATCTTTCTTCTTCTTATTATTATTGTTCCCTTGGGTTCCTAGTGGAACATAGGGCTTCAACTACACGTCTCCACTTGCTTCTGTCTTCTGCTGTACTTTTCACTTGCATCCATGTTAGTCCATACTGTTTCAGCTCCTCTTCACACGATCTCCTCCATGTCACCCTTGGACGTCCCACTCGCCGCTTCCCTTTCGGGTTCCACTCGAGCACTGGCCTGACGCGCAATGTCACCCAACGGCCTCCTCAGCGAGTGTCCAATCCATCTCCACTTCCTCCTGCATATTCGTTGATCGATTGGTTCTTGTTTTGTTTATTCCCACAGTTTCTTGTCGGTTGTTCTTTCCGGCCATCTGATCTTCAGTATACAGCGAAGACAGCTGTTGATAAAGGTCTGCGACAGGCTGTTGGAAATACTATTTGTGACACACTGGCCAAGTTTCTGATCCGTATAGAAGAACTGACTGACTTGACGTTTGTATTGAAAATCGGAATTTTGTTGTTGATGCTGAGTGACGAAGATTTCCAGATTGGTTTCAGATTGATGATGAATGTGTTTCTCGCCTTCCCGATTCTCGCTCGATTTGACATCCTCGTCCGTTCCTCCTGTAGTTGAGACAATGCTCCCTAGACAAGTGAGTGAAGTGACCTCTTTCAAATCCCTCCCGTTGATGGTGATTGGCGCTGGATGTTGCTGTTGTTGTTGTTGGTTGTTTATTTTCATAACCTCCGTCTTGTGTATGTTCACCTGGAGTCCTGTCTTTGCTGCCTGCTTCTTCGACCAGTTTGTCGGTTTTCGCTTGTAAGTCTTCGATTTTGTGTGACATCAAACATAAGTCATCCACACGCGAAATCCAGGTCTTTTGGGTTCTTCACATCGGTCCAGGATATCCCTGTCTTCTCGTTTCCCACTGTCTGACGCATAATCTAGTCCACCACAATTAGGAATATCATTGGTGATAATAAGCACCCTTGTCTGACTCCTGTGTTTACTTCAAACGCCTCGCTGAGTATTCCGTTGTGGATCACTTGACATGTGCCGTTGTCGTACAGCTGTTGAATAAGGTTGATGAGTATTTGGGGGTACACCGTAGTACTCGAGTAGTTTCCAAATTACTTCGCGGTCAACGCTGTCGAAGGCCTTCTCAAAGTCTTTCTTCTTGATAACTTAAAACTAGTAACAATAGCTAACTTTGTATTATTCAGTTTCTAATCATAGAACAGGAATAAGTCGTATAACCATAGAGACAATAAAAAATGCACTGGATACAGAACTCCGCCAGCCAGAACAAGCTGGATCCAGGAAAGGCAAATCATATGCTGATCAAATTACAACTCTACGCATCATCACAGAACAAAGCATAGAGTGGCAGTCAAACTGTATCTCAACTTCTTCGACTTCGAAAAGGTCCTCGACAGGCAGCGTTGACCGAGAAGTAATTTGGAAACTACTTCAACACTACAGTGTGCAGTGGCCATGTCTTTACTTGAAAGTCTTTGAAGTGAATACAGGAGTAAGACAAGCTGGCTGCCTATTATCACCAACGATAATATTCCTAATTGTGGTGGACTGGATTATGCGTCAGACTGTGAATGGGATCGAGGAAACAGGAATACGCTGGATCACCGATAATAAGACTCTAGAAGATCTGGATTTCGCAGATGATTTATGTCTAATGTCACACAAATTCGAATACCTGCAGGCGAAGGCCAACAAACTGGCAGAAGAGACTGGCTGGCAGCGAAGACGGGACTCCAGGTGAACATAGAGAAGGTGTAGAAGAATGTGATGAAGATAACCAACCAGCAGCAACAAAAACCACCACCAGTCACCATCCACGGGAAAGATTTGACAGATGTCACCACAGGCAGTCGGAACTGATAAAGATGTCAAAGCTAGCCAGAATCGGGAAGGCAAGATACGCGTTCATCAACCTGAAACTAGTTTGGAAATCTTCTGCACTCTGCCTCAGCATAAAGAACAAGATTCGGATTTTCGACACCAATGTTAATTCAGTCAGAATTGGGTCAGCAACCTGGAGTAAGCGTCACAAAAAGGATTCCCAACAAGTTACAGACTTTTACTAACAGCTACCTTTGCTGGATCCATACTGAAGATCAAACGGCCGGTCGACCAGAAAGAATTAGCAACAAGAAACTCTGGCTGGCAACAAACAAACCAAGAGTCGATTGCTCAACAAATATGTAGGAGAAAATGAAGATGGGTCAGGTATACGTTGATGAGGCCGTCTAATGACATCGCGTGCCAGCACACTGCTCGAGTGGAATGAGAATAGGAAGCGACGAGTGGTTCGTCAGTGAGAGGATGACATGGAGGAGATAGTGTGGCGAGGAGGAGATGAGAGATTACGGGCAATCGTGGACCTAGCTGAAGAGGGCAGCAGAGAATAGAACAAAGCGGAAATGTGTTGTTGAAGCCCTATGTTACACCCGGAACCCAAGGAAATAATAAGAATCACATCAGTATAGTGCGGTAGTGGTACTTAACGGGTTTTCAAATAAGAAACAATAGAAAATACATAAAAAATACTGGCACCAGTAGAGTTTAAAGACATGCATTCGGTTATATTCAAGGCACACCAGACAGAACTGCGAGCAGTGTACTGAGTAATGATATTCCCACAGAGACTTGATCTTTAAATATTCACAGCATCAATTTAGGCTTCTAAGTAATCAAAATCGCAGGCTTAGCTTTTCATGCTTAATCAAATGACAGAGAGAGAGTAAGTTACTGCCAATGTGACGACAGCATGTCCTGTGGAATGTCACAGCATGAGTTATGTCTCTTTATAAAGAGAAGGACCGTATAAAAGTTTGAATTACCCGGATGGTGTAATGGTGGCACAGACAATTAGGTGCTATTACTCCTGAACTTTTACTGACACATAATTACAACCACACCTTCATGTGCATAATAACACTGCTCCCTTATTACTTAAAAGGAACGCCAATCTTTTTTCAAGGGTTCAAAGAAAGGCAACGAAAAGGACTGTGGGCTTCTGTAATAAACTGGGTCTCTCCACACTTAGCTACCGTTGTCTTCAAGGTGACGTGTTTGCTGCTTCTAACATAACAAGTGACCAAAATTATCCGGACAAAGATATTCTGCCATCAGGTCATTACGGACATCATCGTGACAACCCACAAAGGACCACCCATCAGACAGCAAAAACTTTGGTGTATTCCTATCTCTTTTCACTTAGAGTTTGCCGTCCCTGAAACTCTTTACTAGCAGCCGTGGCTACTGCACCTACAGTGGAGAGCTGTAAGAGGAGGCTGAATAATCGTGCTGAAATACAAGGACTGTGTTCAAGTGGACTATTACCTTGAAATTCATATAGCTCACTCTACTATTGGGTATCGTCCACACTCGCCTTTTACCCCTGCCTAGTCTCATTTGTCTCACTCTTCTGACCACTTTACCTATTCACTTAAATTACTCTTTATTTATCAAATTTCATTATCTATCTCTCTGTTTGTATGTTCATTTTTCTTTTCAAGTCTACGAAATCTCCACTAATTATATTATCATTATCTCCCTTTTCGACCACACAGCAGCGCTACGGTCTTAACATACTGCATACTGTAAACCACATATAATTAGTGTCCACCGCACTTTCTTTAAATTCAATCAAAGTTACGGCAGGTAAAGTGTGGGTAAAACTACTCTGAAGTTTACTTAAGATCAGGAACCTTTACCTTACAACTAAGAAGTGAACCCAAACAGGACAATTCGGTTTACACTAGCTGGTAAAAACCAACATTGGATATTAGAAATTCCAGTGCTTTTATTTTGTTTCAGAGTTCATTTATTACCACCACCAAATGATTGTTTACCGATATTGTTCAAAATCACACATTAAATTCATATCCTTGGGTGGTAGAATTAACTGTCATAGAATGATATTTTCATCAAATACACGTGAATAATTGTACATACCTCTTGTACAAGTTATTATTAAAGACACAGAAGTGTAAGCACCATACTACTCAGAACAATTAAAACCACACAGAATGTAGAAACTCAAAGGTAGTTATAATCACTTGTCACAGACAAATAATATCCGTAATACAAGGAAATACACCTGTGGTGAGAGCTGTCTGCAAGTCAAAATTGTAGACAGCAATTTACGTCAATGTTTACGTCCCGAATCGGGGTCATGAGGAAAAACAATAACAAAGCTTAACCTTGAGGAACTCAACAACCAATCACAGCAGACTCAAAGTGTGCAAATACGATTCGCAGATATATGGCTTAACTTTCTAAGAAACGCAATTAATAGTGTTCTCTGAGCTGGTTGGTTTAGTTGCGGAGCTTTCGTCGTCCTTCTGGACAACATCTTCAGCACAATTTTTAGCATAAAGTGAAATGATTTAAATTTCTTCATGAGTGATATAATTGCGTCTCCTGGTAACCATCTTTACATATGTATTGACCATTTTCTATTGACTTGGATTTTAAACTTTCTGGTCACCTGATTTACTTCTTATTAGTTGGTATATTTCGTCTATATTAACGTGTTTGTTAATTGCATTTTCGTTTGAGTATCAGGCTTCTAGGAATTCCCTGACACTTTTGGTGTTTCCTCTGTCTAAGATTTCGACATTATCCCAATCAAACTGATGACCATAATTGTCTATATGCATTGATACTAAAGAATACATATCGTGTCTTTTCACGGCTGATTTGTGTTCTTGGATTCTAATTCGAAGGGGACGCCCACTTTGGCCGATGTAATGCTTGTTACAGTTCATACAATTTATTTTGTAAATGGTATTAATTTTATCTCCTTTTTCTGTTGGATCTTTCGGTTTGCATAATATCGAATTAAGCGATTTGACTGGCTTGTGTGCTACATCTATATCAAACGGTTTCAGTATTCTAGCTGTTATTTCAGAGATATTTCTCATGTATGGTAGGATGAATTTTCTTGTGGTCTTTGATGATGGTTCGTTGTTGGTGTTTTGATTCGACTTTAAACACTTTTTGAAGACCGTTTGTAGGTATTTTTCTTCCATTCTTTTCAACTCTGGAGTGCTACAATGTGTTTGAACTCTTTTAAACAATGTCTGCACACAGTTTCGTTTGTAAGTAATTGGATTATTGCTAGTATAGCTGAGTATTTGATCTGTGTGCGTTGATTTTCTATATACTTGTGTTTCTAAATTTCCTGTGTTGGTTCTCCTGATTAAGACATCTAAGAAACGGTCAAAAGCAGTATAGAATAACCTTCAGCAAGAAAAGAACCAATCAGAAGAGGTTGCTTCTCTGCTAACAATAACGCTAATAATAATGTACATAAAAATTTATAAATATCTGTTGATTTTCTCAATAAACGATCTGTTGCCTGACCCTTGTCTTCTGTCGTTACATACCTACCGTGATGAAAATAAAATATATTGACATCTGTGAAGCATATTATATAATAGTTATTGGTTATGCTCACTCTATAATCACTTACCAAGCAGACATCTGAGAATTTCCTTTCAGCTACCCAATAAAATAAACCAGTGCTATCACACTGTAGGTCAACTGAATTCAATCTTTGTACACGTGTAAAATCGGGGATCGTACTGTCCATTTGAGGAAGACGATAATGCGATGTAATTGAAAAATTACTTGCACACTTGGATATTTTAGGGAATATTTTACTTCGCCTAGAGTGTAATTGTTCCAATTAAGAAAACAAAAAAGGTAAAAGTTGATGAGTAATAATATCAGTATGACAAATAATATTAATATGAAGCTAACATCCATTGTTGAGTAGTTCTCATTATGACATTCTTGTAATCCAATTTCTATTTATAGGATTTTCACCAAGTGGGATAACAGTATTATTTCTTAGTAGAAGCACAGGTTTGTACGCGTGTTCGTGCCTGTGGAGCAGTTTATGACAGGCGTGTGAACGACAGTCATGTTCAAATCTTCAAATCTTACATATATGCTCACTATTCACTCTGCGCCTTCTGTTTGTTAGACTATTCCGTCAAATCTTAATTAGAATTCTTATAAATTATATTCTATCAGTTTTAATTTTGATTCAGCTAGTCACTTTATGTGTGAACTGAGTTTTTAGTGGTTTTTGAAATCGATTAAACAACCGACTTCATTTGATGAACACTAGAGAAGGAGGAGTTACCGAACCAGTTACCAATTAATGTTCGGAAAATGGATTGTAGTGTAATGTTATTATAGTGGCAGTCATGTTTTAGTGATTTTTAGTTATTACGAGTTGATCACGGATTGATATCAGTTAGAGAACCATTGAAAACCAGCAACGGAGTACTGGACAGCTGTTTCATCCTAGTTTGGGAATCATCGGCAGTACGCATCCACTGACGGGGTTCGAACCCAGGACCTTCCGGTTACAAGGCAAGCTCGTATACCATTCAGCCTCTGCGACCTGATTCAGTGGTTCATGAATTCTAACTTCTGCCATATCCTGAGAAGTCCTGACCAGTGAGGTCCATCCAGATGTCACGTGTGAAGATGGATGTCCCACCTACGACAATGGTTGGGGTCGCGCTAAATCACGAATTGGTAGAAGTTAGAATTTATGGGCTATTGAATCAGGTCCCAGTGGCTGAACAGTATACGAGCTTGCCTTGTAACTGGAAGGTCCTGGGTTCGAACCCCAATGAGTGAGTACTGCCGATGATTCCCAAACTAGGATGAAACAGCTGTCCAGTACTCCGTTGCTGGTTTTCAATGGTTCTCTAACTGATATCAATCCGTGATCAACTCACAAAAACAAAACTAACCCTTACAAACCAAACCATAAAAGATTTTTAGTTAATAACTCTAAAGTTAGCAAATACAGGATAAATAATATCATCGTATGAAAATTACTAAGATTACATACAGAAAGGTAGTCTTTAATAAGATATACAGGCCTCATCTTTTTGAAGTGGTTGAGTTCTCTTAGCTGAGTGGTTTAATTGTCCTTCTAGACAACATTTTCAGAGCAAACTTTAGCATAAAGTGAACCCCTGAGCTCAGAGAACGCAATCATATAAAAATAATCCACCTAAGCTATACATCTTTTTTGTAGACATACTCTGCTAACTAAATACTACATATCTACAAAAGAATGAATGAAGTTTACTTAGAAATTGATAAGTTGATAAGATTTAGCAATTGACTTCGTACTGTCAGCATCACATAAAATCCTGTTTAATTTAGGCAAATTACAGTTCAGAGTCTGAAGTATGGAAGAAACAACAACTATTTCAAACTGGAATTATTTTAAATAAGTTATAATGGTTCAATCTGACTCGATGCTCAAATTATTCTATGAAATTTGTAACATCTACGGTCTGGAAACTTATAATACTTCTATCCTTCTTCTGTTATGGACGGAATCTAAATTTGGCTGGAGGATTTCATCACGAGCTGACATCAGTTAGAAAACCATTGGAAAACCTGGGCGTACTGGACAGCTGTTTCGTCAGCCTGGTTCGGGACTCTCTAGCAATACGCACCCACCTCCGGGGTTTGAACCTATGTCCTTCTGGGTTTTATTATTAAGTATAATCATATGTATGTGATCTAAAATCTTAAGATTGCAGGAAACTTGCTAAATCTGAGTTACTGTTTCATAACTACCCTGATACCTCGTCAAAGCTATTTTGTACCTGATAGTGAGTCCAAACAGTTACTAGAACAACAGAAAATGGGGTAGATTTCGGAACTGTGATACACTAGCTGAAATCGATTATTCAGCGTAATAAGTCGCAGCTTTTCCTTATCTGACAGGAGAGGGAGAACTCTTTGATTGTTCCGACGTTCATTTTTTCGAAAGGTTTTATTAATATTAGTGGGATTTTGGCTGACAACATCTAGGCAAGGATATGATATGCTCGATTATTGTCATTGAATTAAGCTACTTACGGTGACAAAGTTATGTGTGAATGTTCAGTACGCGTCCACTGTACCGAACAAAAGGGACCAATGTTCTGATGATATTAGATGGTTGGAGGCAATCGGCAGGAAGCCTTCGACCTAGGTTTCGTGCTAGTTGGCACTCATCGATCAGCAAGGCGTATCTGCAACACTGAAGGAATTCATGTCCCTTCTGGGATTCGAACTCGTGTCACCTAGTGCTTCAGACAGAGATGTTACCACTGAGCTATTCGGGTTCGCGATTGACTATCTTCCTGTAGGACTGTATCGAATACTTTGATTGGACACTAGTAACTAGGTCCAAGGCTTCCTGTGGCCGATTGCCTCCAACCATCTAATATCATCAAATCAATGTACACTGTGATGGCAAGCTACCTAGAATGGTGGCCACATTGCAAACCTGACTGATAGAATTCAGTCCGCACCAAACAAAAGGACTAGACACATTACACTAGTTACTAGTGTCCAATCAAAGACCAATGTTCTACTGTGCAATTATGCTACATGTCTGTTAAAGATGAAGGAATTGGAAAGGTTTCAAGTATCTGATAACTTGCATGTTTGCAGTATTACTAATCTACGATGAAATCGTTATATTAAAGATGACGAATTTAGCTATAAATTACTAAAGTAATGGCTATAAATAGGCTGATATGGTTCTTACTGTTCATATACTGGACTGCACATTTTCCTTTTGACAGGCAAAGTTGTTTGGAGTAGGGTCAAGTTTAAAGAAAATGAAAGATGACTAAATGGAAGCACATCACTCTATCAGCTTTGTAAATGTAAGCTTAGGCAGTTCACGGGAGCGCAGTGTCTCTAGTTCATATCATATTTTTGTTGAATTAGAACAATTTATTCTTTTATCTTGTCCATATCCCAAATCATTATTTTAATGTCTTAGCCACAGTGTTTATTAAAACATTTGACATTTTGATTATGAATTTATTCACAAATGTTACTCCCATTTTAATGTAACTACATATTTAAAAAAAGAATTACGTCGTTTCATAAACATCTCATGTTTTTATAATTTTTCTTCAACTACACTATACTACTTCATTTTTCTGAATATGATGGAATATCTGCCTGCCTATCTTCAACGACATCAAATTCACAAGAGAAGAGGAATCAGAAAACCAAATCCCACTTTTAGACATCTTAGTCAAGCGAACAACCACAGGGGAATTAGAAACTCAAGTCTATAGAAAATCAACTCACACAGACCAAATCCTGAATTACAACAGCAACAATCCAATAGCACACAAAATGAATTGCATACGAACACTATTCAAGAGGGTCAGGACTCATTGCAGCACTCCCACCTTAAGAAAAATTGAAGAAAGATATCTCATGGACGTCTTCCAAAAGAATGGGTATCCACGGAATTTCATCAAAAGACATATACCCCTAAGCCAACCTATCAAACCAAAAGCCCCCAAGGAAAGCACAAAGAAAATCGCCTTACCATATATAAAGGACATCTCAGAAATCACTACAAGACTCTCCAAACCTTTAGGAATTGACGTCGTATACAAACCAACAAAGTCACTCCACTCAATTCTATGTCAGCCAAAAGACTCAACAGCGAAGGAAGATAAAACCAACATCATCTACAAAATAGATTGTATCAACTGCGAAAAGCACTCACTACATTGGCCAAAGTGGACGTCCCCTTCGTCCTCGTATTCAGGATCATAAGCTAGCTGTCAAAAGACATGATATCCACTCCCTCATATCACTACATACAGACAACCACGGGCATCAATTCGAATGGGACAACGTTCAAATATTAGACAGAGGAAACAACAAGAATGCTAGAGAATTTTTTAGAAGCTTGGCATTCCAGTGAATCATCAATCAATAGACACATCGAAATAGACAAAATTTATCAACCGATAAGAAAGAATAGTCACACACAAAGGGTCAAAGTTCAAGTCAAAGAAACAATGAGTGACAATACAAGTGCGTCGGTAGCACAGTGGTTATGACTCTCGCCAACCATGCACATGGTCAGGGGTTCGATCCCCTGCCGGCGCACACCCGATATCTATGGTCGGCCTGCAAAATTGGGCTACCGATATCACATGCTGAAAATTCCATACTTGTACCAAAAATACGGTGTGGAATCAAGCTATAATAAATAAAAAAGTAACCTAGATGGTGTGAAAACACACAAAAACAACCAATCACGTCCAAGGTCGCCAGGAGAGATGACTAATAAACTCGTGGAGAAATCTAAAAGCTCACTTCAAATTGAAGTATGCGCTGAAGATGTCACCCAGTAGGGTGATGAAAGCTTCGCAAATTAACTATCCAGCTCAGAGAACACAACCACATCAAAATCATCCACCTGAGCTACAAATCTTCTCTATCATATCCAATATCTGCCTCATCGGTACAACAGTAATACGAAGGATATTTCCAGTATGAGTTTGATCAATAACCATGACCTGTTGTTGAAAGATACAATGCTCCCCAGCCACTTAGGAGATTCAGGTTCGACTGTGATAGGCGAAAGAACTCCTATAAACCACGCCTAGTTTACTAGACCATAGTAAGCCTAGCAAAGAGAGAAGTTTTCGTGTGAGGCTAGCGACCATACCCGGCGAAAAAATACCATCGCTACTGAAATTTTCTAAGCTTGAGACCCTATATTCCATTCGGAATGCAAGGAGTGGAAAAAACAAAACAACAGAAAATAAAACGATACATTTAAAACAATTAGTTCCCTTTAGGAATTTAGATAAAGCAATAAGAAGACGTAATTTGTCTGAATCGTGTAAAAGATCTATTTATAGAAAACCTACTTGGACAGGACAGTATCTTAATTACTACACAGTTTCTGCCCTGTTCGGTACAAAAGAGCCTTAGTGAGTGAGGTGCCTCTTCAGTAGAATCCAACGAATATGCATTGAAGACACACTTGATGAAGAAGAAAGAAGGTTGACATAAACTCTGGTTGATAACAATTATCCAGACAAGTTCATCAGGAGATATAAAGTAGTCAGAACACCAAGACCCACTCTCCAACTCGCCCCTAAGAAAGAGGTGTACATCAAGCTACCCTATTACATGGGGCATCATAGCAGCTTGAATTTGAATGTACGTGTGGACACACATACATATGGAGGACTCATCGATCTCTGCAAGTAAAGGCTTCAGAGCATATTCCTAAATAGCTCCAGAAACAAATGGAATCTTCAGAACCCATTAATGGTGAGAACAGGAGACCTAGCTCCTCTATTGCGAAACATATTATAGAGACAGGATATAAAATTGACGTTAACAGATCTTTTAAACCTATCTATAAAGCGTTTTTGGGGCGTATCCTAAAGTTTGTGGAAGCCCTAGCAATTAGAAAGTTTAAACCACATTTATGCATTCAAAAACAATCCATCATAACATTAAACTTTCTTTGGTAAACTTTGTTTTGATACCAGTCAAGGTAGATGTACTATTACTCTGTTATTTAGTTTAGTAGTCTTCATTGTTATTTTGACCTTCAGTATGTCCTTTTAACTTGACCTGAGTCTATTTTCTCACCTCTTACCTCTTTATTAATTTCATATATATTCCTATGACAAGTCCGTGTGTGATCAGATTGTTCGAAATGTTTTGAGCAAATACAGCATTACACGATTCAGACAGATTACGTCTTCTTATTGCTTTATCTAAAACCATACATGACAAAAAATTATGTAAACCGTAAAATAAAAAAAGGGATAATTGTCTTTTTTGTTAAGTCATTACTCAACAGAAAATAAACACGCTTTCTTACTTAATTTTCTTATATGTTGTAAGTGGTTCTCGAAGAAAATTCATACAAGTTTTAATTTGTTTAGTGTACTGTGTTCTTCTGGTAAGGAGTGTTTTCGACTGTTCGCGGTTATTATTATCTGTGCAGGAAATTAAAATTCACAGATAAGTTAATTTATCAGAGTTTTAAAAATGACCTAGGTACTTTAATCATTCAACTAAAAGTGTTTCATTTAACTGGAAGTAAAATAGCGCTGAAGACAGTAGTTTAGCTTAGTGAATGCTAACTGTATTCATTAGTTTTTATTGTCTCCTAAATTGCTTATGGCTCCCTTGAGTTCCGAGTGGAATATAGGGCTTCAGCAACACATTTCCGCTTTGTTCTATTTTCTGCTGTCCTCTTTAGCTGAGTCCAAGATTTCCCATAGTCTCTCAACTCTTCACAATATCTCCTTCATGTCACCCTAGGAAACCCAGCCTGTCGTTTCCCATACGGGTTTCAGTCGAGTTATCGCATGGTGCAAGATGTCATTTGACTACCTCTTAACCATGTGTCCAGCCCATCTCCGTATGTCTCCGACTTTGCTCTGATATCTACAGTGAAGGTATCTCTTGTAATTTTGTCCTTCAGTTTCTGAATGTCGAACTTGAATTGTGGTCTGTCTCCAGTTGTTCTGATGGATTTAAGCTTCACCTTGAAGGTTCCTTGAACTAGACGATGGTCTGAGCCCACATCTGCTCCCCTTCTCGACTTTGTGTCCAGCAGGCTGTGTCTACACTTCCTTGAGTAGTACTGGGATGAAGTCTATCTGGTTTTCGGTGTGTCCATCAGGCAAAATCCATGTTGCCTTGTGCATATCCTTGTGTTAGAAAAACTAGACTGAGATACTCAGAATGAAAAGTCTGTAATGTGAATATTTAGTCGCAGACTTCATTTGAGGCGTCATTTTTCGTAATTATGAAACGAATGAGCAACATATTTGTTCTTACGTGTTGTTAGTTTGAGTAAAAGTGATCTGAATCAAGCGTCAGTTAACACAACGTATAATTAGAGGTTCTGGTTATTTAGGAGGTCAGAATAGCCTACTTGATAGTAGTATGACTAGTTACAGGGATTTAAGTATTTACTGCCAACTTCTATGGAAACATTTCACTGATACGCTATATTTTTGAGTCTCATAATATTAATACAAAGAAATAGACAATGATTCAAGAAATGGCGGGCTGTTTGTATTCGTTTTTCCAAGTTTACAACATTTCTTACTGAAGAACTTTCCGTTTATCATGATTTACTATGAAAGCTCTTTAAATTAAACAGCATTCTCAATAGTATTGATCAAACAAACTAAGATGTTCTTATTTTCACGCATTTTTCTGAGTTTTCAAAGTCAGTTGATACGTCATCCAAATGTACATAAATATGGTGGTTTTTGGTCAATGGCGCTAGTAGTGAAATCCAGGATGTATGTTTCGTCCTATTTTGAGGATGTAGGTAGATTTGGTTGATGAGTTCCAAATAGGACGAAACGCGCTTTCTACATTCCACTGCTAGCCACCATCGACCAAATACCACCACGTTAATCTTCAGGCATAATTGAATCATCCGTACTAGGAGGTGATGTATCAAAAGAGATGGAGCATTACGTCCAAATAAAACCAGTCATTGGGAAATACAAATTAACTTAAGCATAAATAAGCTCACATACATGATTATCAGTACAATTAGTGCCTACCATGGGATAATTGTCACTTTTTCTTTTTTTGTTCGACAGAAAGGTAGTGTGACTGATCTCCCGCTCCCTTGGTAACCGTAATTGTTTTGTTCGTGTGCTGTTGTGTTTTGTTCTGATTTTCACTTACTGAGTTGAACTCATTATTAAGTTTCCAAATCTATTTAATTGTTTTGTCTATGTGACAATTTTACTTTACTAATCAACCCCATACCATCGCTTCGGCAAATCGTAGTAGCGATCGCAATCAAACGATTTAAACCAGACTTATGCATACAGAAAGAGAGTGTAATTAACCTCTCACTCCCTTGGTAACTGAATTTTGATTTTGATTAGTCATCTAATTCAGTGATCTCAACTCACTGAGCAAATCTCAATCTTATGAACTGTAAATGCTTTTTTTTGGAGTTGCCATGTGAACCTACAAGCTAACACTGTTTCTGTTATTCAATTTTTCTGTTTTCTGTCTTACCCCTCCCTCCTCTTTTCAACTCTGAAAGTGTATAAATTGATGATGATAACTTAAACTAAAAATTGTAATGCTTTCATTCTTTTTTGGATGCGTCAATTTTATCTCTTCTCTACTACTAATCAAACATTAAAGTATGTTATTATCATTTATATAACCATTGTAATTTCAGGTAGTCTGCAGCTGATGAGAACCTGTGAAATAGAATGATATCATTTTATACTGCAAATTTCGTCTTCCTTTCTTTATCGAAATAGTTATTGGCATTAACAAATAGAATTTCAATCTGTGAAGAAAGAAATTTAGTTTTAGCACCAGTTTATACTAAGATATAATTGTACTCATCCTAATCTGCTGTAACAGCTTAATGAATAGAAAAATTAATTTTGTACTCATAGTTTTGTTCTCTTTTTACCTGGATCCTGTGTTGTTGGTGTAAGTATGATTTGACCGAGATTATCAAACATCAGTTGACCATCCATAGTAAATGTCCTTAGGCTATTTTTCAAAAAAAAAGAAGAAAATCCAATTTAATCAAAAACAAAACAGAGTTCAACTAGCATACAGAATAAAATTTTATTGTATAATATTTTTTTATTATTATAGAATTGGATTAAAAATCTTTCTTATGAGAAATATCAGAAAAATAAGACTGATTTTCGTTACGTCAAGCAGGGATAGGACTCAATGCCTCGCAGTGTGATAACTGCTCGATAAAACAAACGATTTAGTATCCTCACGCTCACACCACAATTATATATCGTGTCGACCCCTATACCCCGAAATCCGGAGCATAGTTTATGGTCATCGCTCTGGCGTAACACCAGACCTAATGGGCCTAGCCGAACACATGGTCCAGTCCAGACACCAAAAGGAATACTTAAGCTTTCCAAGCCACGTGTCGGATACGGAATGTACCGTTGCAAAAATGGACGTGATTCAGACTTAGAGGAGTTCAGTCTTAATTTCTCGGATGGTAGCTTCGCACCATTGGCGTTTCGACCAGGCACATATACCAATTGTTTGAACATGCAGTTCCTCTCGTACTGAACAGGATTACCATAGCAACGGCCAGATTGTACTTCAATGATTACTGTACTCATTAGTAGGGTAAAACTAACCTGTCTCACTACGGTCTAAACCCAGCTCACGTTCCCTATTAGTGGGTGAACAATCCAACGCTTGGTGAACTGTGCTTCACAATGATAGGAAGAGCCGACATTGAAGAAGCAAACCACCATGGCCACTGAAAACCAGGTAGTACTGGAGGGCTGTTTCGTCCTAGTTTGGGACTCTTCACAGAATGCACCCATCGACCGGGTTCGGACCCAGAACCTCCCGGTTACAAGGCAAGTTCGTATACCATTCAGCCGCTGGGATGCAATTCAGTGGCCTATGAATTCCAACTTCTACCAATTCATGATTTTAGGTCAGTCAGTTGTAAATGTCATCGGTGAGTTTTTGTCCTTACGCCCAGCTAGATAGACTGTCAGGAACCTACTGCCCAATAGTTATGCAGGTGGATTGGACACACTCTGAGGAGATACTCAGGTGACTTCATATATCAGACTATAGAGTGGAGCCCAAGTGTGAAGCGACCAGTTGAGGATGGGTCCGAAGTTGTTATGGAGCAGATCACGTGGGCAGTCTAGGAATCATGTGAAAAATGACAGCAAAGAACTGAGTACAGTGAAGGTGTGCTCCTGAAGGCTAACATTCCACTCAGAACCCAAGGAACGAATACCAGTGTACATTCAATTTTCGTGTTTTAAAAAATGGTGATGAAATGTTATGCTATCCCTGTAATCCTTTTCATTCAAAACCTAGAGATCAATCTTTGGAAGTTATTCAGTACAATTTATATTCACTTTCACAAACTGAATACTGAGTGATAATCTATGCGATTTATATATCCTTAATGCTGATTGCTATTTAGAGGTAAAAGACTTACATAAAACTTAGCTCTCTACCAATATAGTGCATTGCAAGTATCGAAACAGGACTTATTAAGGGAAGAGTAGTAAGTTATAACTCAGAAACGTGAGCTACATGGATAATTATGATTAGGATCTCTTTTGGTAGACTGAGAGGTCAAGATTTATTCGAGCAAAGCAAGAACTACAGCTTTAGCAGAATAAAATGGTACCATCTTTATTTCGTTGCCTTCTCGTCAGCTGCTGGCAGGGAAAAGACATTATTAAATGTATCTACAAAAACAATTTCAACATACTTGCACAGAGTTCATTTAAAAAAAATCAATCGATCAATATACGCATACACTAATAATATATACATATGTATATGCAATACTGAACACAATTCCGAACAATAATAATCGTACACAATGGAAATTTTTCAGCATTTCGCATTCGGATGAAAGAGAGATGAAAAATATCCAGTTACCAGGGCAAAGATTGACTGATAACCACTTCTTTCTAGACACCAGGCATCTCCTCGACATGGGTCATGAGATGGACGTCGAAAAGTTCAAAATTATCAATAAGCAAAAGAGCTCAATTCTCCTTAAGTTTGTGGAAGCCATTTCCATCAAGCGCCTGAAACCTGAGTTATGCGTCCAGAAAGAAGCGGTTATCAGTCAATCTTTGCCCTGGTAACTGGATATTTTTCATCTCTCTTTCATCCGAATGCGAAATGCTGAAAAGTTTCCATTGTTTATCATTATTATTGTTCGGAATAGTGTTTAATATTGCATATATATATGTATATATTATCAGTGTATGCGTATATTGATCGATTGATTTTTGTTTAAAATGAGCTCTGTGCAAGTATGTTATAATTGTTTTTGTTGATACATTTAATAATGTCTTTTCCCTGCCAGCAGCTGACGAGAAGGCAACGAAATAAAGATGGTACCATTTTATTCTGCTAAAACTGTAGTTCTTGCTTTGTTCGAATTCATTAAGGGGAATAAATGTATGAAAGATTTATTCCTTGGTATCTAGTTCGATAGGACCAGTTGTTCTTCACCAAAAAAACGTTTCAGTTTGAAAGTTTGAAAGAGCGATTCTAGCCTCATTCGTCTCACTCACTTACTTCATTCCAAACAAGTTTGCTTGATGTCCATTTTTATTTCGAATACCTTAAAATCTATCTACCTTTCATATTAGTTTAATTCCGGTATCTATGCTTCTGGTCATACGGTTTAAGGCATCCACTGGATTTGTATGTCTGAGCAAGCAAAATGATGCAGTGATTTTGAAAATTAGTGGCATCTTATTTATCTTGACATCACAGATAAACACAGTCTTTTCTTTTCTTCCTTGTACTAATGAGTGTACACACCACAAAATTATTTATGAGGCTAAACTACTCTGATTCGGTTCGTTGTGATCACTTACCATCCAATCCACCTGAGTTAATACTCAGCCATACCTTCATTTGATTTTTTTTCTTAACAACATTTTAGTTTTAAAAAAAATCTAGAATCCCTAGCAGATGCACACAAAATTATTTAGACATAAAACGGCTATTTTAATCCAGTTTAGATTTTCCCGTCGATTGATTGGACCGAAGTGCTCGGTCACACGTTGATATATGTCGGCTCCTTGTGCAAATGCCTTGACGATGTCTGGTTATGTAATTTGAACTCAGTTGGTGGATAGTGACTAGCAGTGAAGTCCAGGACAACACGCATTTCGTCCCATCTGGGACTCGTCACAAGGATATCCCAGTGCGTTCCCCAGTGAGTGATGGTGCTCCTACCGAGACTCGAACCCAGCGCCCATGGCTTCAAACCCGAAAGCTCTATCCACTAGACCACTTGGACTACGACAGCCACCCCTTGTGCAATGGCTGTGACTTATTATTAAATGGATTCCACTGCTATTCGCCGTCCGAAAACCGACTTCAAGTTAAATGACTAGACATTGTCGAAGCATCAGCATTAGGAGCCGACAGATCAACTTGAGACGGAGCATTTTGGTTCAATCAATCGACTGGAGAATTTAGATTGAATTAAATAATTAATAAAACCCGTTGAATTGAATTGAATAGATTGAATTTTACTTTTAACTCACATAAATCAACACAACAGCATTAAAACAAATTGGTAGAACAAAAAGCCTAAAACCAAAAAACAAACAAACAGAATTTACCGTTGTGCTTCGATTAAATTCTTAGCCAGAACAACTGCTCGCATTCGATGGGTATTTATTCGCATTCTGCCACCGGGATTGATAATCATTTGTGTCTTTTCATTATCAATAAATATGTGTACAGCTAATAGAAGTATACCCCAAAGTTCCATGGCTAATCTGAAAAAAAATAGAAAGAAAATAGGATGTAAAGAATGGGAATAAATCATGCTAAAAGCGATAATAAAATTAGACTTTCTTTACCTGAAACCCAACTGATACTGACACAACAGGACTGTTTTCATCGTATTATGTTCTAGTATGTTTTCAGTGTAGTTTCCTAGCCTTATATTTAGAATTCCTAGTCACAAAGAGTTTATTTGGAAATCTTCAAATACAAAGATAGTGTACTAACCAAGGGGAAAGCACATAATGGTCTTGTTATTTCCTTACAAATCAACTAATATACAGTTGTTTGTTCAATTATCATGTAGCCTAATATAAACCCCCATCGCTATGGAAACTTCAGAGCATAGAGAAAACATACACCTATTAACTTCCCAAAACAGAAGATGCTAATTTACACACTTCATACTGAAGCCTTAGAAAAGTATCTGATAGATCTGCTCCAAGTACCGACACATAGTTGTTGTATATCAGTTAAGTAGGAGGACTTTCAGTGGTCCATGAATTCTAACTTCTACCAATTCGTGATTTTTAGCGTGACCACCAACCAGTGTCATCGGCGAAAATTCCATCCTCACTCCCGTGGTCTAAGCTGAAATAAATAGAATCCATACAAACTAATTCTTGAAAATTAATCTGATGCTCGTTATTGACTGGCCAAAGGAAGACGCTGCCTGGAGTTCTAGGGAGAAGTAGTGACCAGTGGGGTCCATCCAGTCGGGAGTAAGGGTGGAGTGCCCGCCAGTGACACTGTTTGGTGGTCGCGCTAATATCACGAATCGGTAGGAGTTGGAATTCATGAGCCATTGAATCGGATCCTGATGGCTGAATGGTCTACGAGCTCACTAGCTTTGTAACCAGAAGGTCCTGGTTTCGAACCACTATGGTGGGTGAGTACTGCCGATGATTCCCAAACTAGGACAAAGCAGTTGTCCAGTACTCCCTGGTTTTCAATGGTTCTCTAACTGATATCAACTCATAATCTAATCGGAAACAAATATTTACTGACTGAGTCTAACTAGGTGCATCGTTGCTGAACCCGGCTCCAAACGGACGAAATGGCCATCTGGTGTTTAGATCGCTTCGGTCTCTATAGCAAGCAACACTACTTAACATCAGTGGCCTCCAGTTACCTATTTCACTGGGTGGCAGATATCATATTACTATGCTGCTTGTTTTCTTTGTTTTCATTTGATCGTGTTAAGCAAGTCAGATATTGTGATGTGAACATTTCAGTTTTCCTAAGGAAACCGCGATGAATGAGTAATTTACAAATGATGAACTCAACTCTCCTAAATCACTCCGGGGTGAATAGAAAAGTAACTAGCATCAGAAATTTTACTCAGTAAATAATCCTATTTTACTGTGTGATATATCTAATGAAGCTAAGGTCCATCTATCCAAATAAAAAAACTTTCAATTGGTTGGTCAAAAGTTCAAATTACACTCCACACACCTTCCCCCAAGAGTTTAGGAAACCAGTTAGTTTCATCAGTGTTTATATAATAAGCCTGGTTTCATGTCTAATGTGCAAGTAAGTACACATATATCTGCTGAGTAGAACGTATAACTAACAAACAAGTTTTATTGTCTTTAGAACCTGTTCTCAACTAACAAAATCATACCTTCGTGTTATCTGATAACTATGAATGGTGAATAAGTTAAGTTTGAGTATTAACTAATATGACCTCTAAAACTTTGATTGGACACTAGTAACTAGTGTTACGCGTCTAGTCCTTTCTTTGGTGCAGACTGAATTCTATCAGTCAGGTTTGCAATGTGGCCACCATTCTAGGTAGCTCTTCATTACGGTGCACATTGATTTGATGATATTAGATGGTTGAAGGCAATCACCAGGAAGCCTTGGACCTAGGTTTCGTGCTAGTTGGCACCAAAGAAAGGACTAGACGCATAACACTACTTACTAGTATCCAATCAAAGTATCCACTACAGTCCTACTGTAGGTCAATTGTAAGCCTGAATAGCTCAGTGATAACGTCTCTGACCGAAGCACTAGGTGACGTGAGTTCGAATCTCAGAGGGGACATGGATTCCCTCAAGGTTGCAGAAACGCCTTGCTGACTGATGAGTGTCAACTAGCACGAAAGCTAGGTCGAAGGCTTCCTGTGGCCGACTGCCTCCAACCACCTAATATTATGCCCTCTAATATTTTGTTTAATCTGATTTGATTAAAATAGGTAGACTTAAAAGACTATTCAAAACAAGATATTAATTATAAGAAGAAGCAGATAATGATGTCCAAAAGATACAGTTTAGAAACTGGCAGTAATCAGCTGATTGGTCCTAATATCAGCGAACTGCAATCTACCAATCAGAGAACGTGGAAATGGTATATACAAGATCTCCAGATTAACGCCCACGCGCCTGTCGATAACTTACTTAAAAATCGTCTAAGTGCTTGTATGAAAGTCGAAATGAAATTTTCAGTGTACACGTGACAACAGACGCCCTACAAAATACATATTACAACAATTTGTCAGTGTCTGCAGATCTCCTCAACATAAAGTATACCTGAAGTCTTCCTTAGAAAATTAGTATTTATGCAAGCATTTAGATTACCTGACTGTAGAAAAAAATGTTACTCACCCAACTAACTGTTGAAACATCATCCCATCAAAAGCACGAGAAAATCTGACTGTATACAATTTATATCTTGTGCCGTGAAGGTATTCATTAATCCAACGGGGTAAGGTTTTCTGTAAGAGTAAAATGGTAATAATAATAATTATAATACATAAATGTATTGACTGAACATCTGGTAAGTAGTTGACGTCTGTGTTGAGTACGTTTTCATTTAGTCCTCTAATAAGATTGCCAAGCTATAATTAGTGAAGTTTAACTTTTTTAATTACTGGGATTGTCGCATGAAAAAAATTTTTAAAAATGTTACTATCATACAACCTGAATGTTTTAGGCTAAAATGTCCAAAATAAGCGTTTGATTCCAACATAAGTTTCACCAGTAATGCCTATTATTATTATTATTGTTCCCTTGGGTTCCTAGTGGAACATAGGGCTTCAGCTACACGTCTCCACTTGCTTCTGTCTTCTGCTGTACTTTTCACCTGCATCCATGTTAGTCCATACTGTTTCAACTCCTCTTCACACGATCTCCTCCATGTCACCCTTGCACTGACATCCCACTCGCCGCTTCCCTTTCGGGTTCCACTCGAGCTATGGCCTGACTCGCGATGTCACCCAGTGGCCTCCTCAGCTCAGCGAGTGTTCAATCCATCTCCACTCTCTCCTGCATATTTGTTGAGCGATTGGTTCTTGTTTTGTTTGTTCCCATAGCTTCTTGTTTGTGATTCTTTCCGGCCATCTGATCTTCAGTATAGATCGAAGACAGTTGTTGATTAAGGTCTGCAACAGGCTGTTAGAAATATTCTTTGTGACACACTGGCCAAGTTTCTGATCCGTATAGCAAAATTGACTTGACGTTTGTATTGCAAATCCGAATTTTGTTGTTGATGCTGAGTTCAGTGACGAAGATTTCCAGATTGGTTTCAGGTTGATGAATGTGTTTCTCGCCTTCCCGATTCTCGATTTGACATCGTCGTCCGTTCATCCTGTAGTTGAGACAATGCTACCAGTAACGCCTAAATTCAATATAATTAACAAACATAAGAAAACTTAATTCATTTTCAAATAAATTTGAAGTGCTGTTGTCAGAAGTTGGTGAAGTCCACGTATCACAGCCAGAATCATGGTCTGTCGAAAGTTCACCTTGAAGAAGCAATCCGATTTAGGGGACCCTACGAAAGGTCATTGCAAATCAAATCATACCTGCCTGTTTGTTTGGGGAGAGGGTAAAGTTAAACAATAACGTCCCAAGGGATGCGAACGCACGAGTGACCTTGAGTCAAACCACCATAAAAATAAGTGATTTTTGTACAAAATATGACGTCCCGGTTATAATGAAGAATATCAGTTCTTAAGTTAGACCAGTTTCTGTACATGTATTCACCGAGATGAGCTTTTCTTGTGTCCCCTTTATCGCTTTTATGCTGTTTTGCAGTCTTCCTCAAAAGCCCTTCGGTTGAATTACTATGGTTTCCAGTAAGCGCATCGACGGCTAGTTAACAGTAAAATGTGGATAATGAAACAAATTAAAATAATTTTTCAATATTTTTTTCCTTTACGTTCCAAGTGGAACATAAGGCTTCAAGCTAGAGCTTTTGGGTTTCGGTAGCAGTGGTGTTTCTTTTTACGGGGTGGGATTTCTAGCCTCACGCTGAACCTTCCCTCATTACGGCTTAACGAGGTAAAGGAGTGCGTCGGTCGGGGATTTAACCCTGGTCCACATGCGTGGTTGGCGAGCATTCTACCGTCGAACCATCGACACGCGAATAAATCATACCAACTCTAAATCTATCCCTGAACGTAACCCTTACCCTAACCTTAACACTAATCCTAACTTTTATCCTAATCCTAATTATAATCCTTATCCTAACTCTAACGAGCTATTAACACATTGTCCAAACAGTAGCTAAAAACGTGACCTGGGTGAAATTTTCTCCTTCAGTTGATGAATAGCGTTCATATTTGTTCTATAACAATGACAGGTGTCGTTAGCCAACGACTAGCATGCGTTCAAGGTCACTGGAGCGTTCACACCCCTGGAACGCTATTGTGTAACTTCGCCGAGGAGAGTATGACAATGAAGCAATACAGCTGTGTAAGAGATGTGGATGTAGTTCAAGCTATAAGAGGAAATCCGTTCCCGACGGTAGACACAGTATTCTACTTATTCACCAGGTACTTTTTTCTGTTAAGGTTAGGAGTAGGTTAAAGAAAAGAGTCAGGGATATTAATGGATCGTGAAGTAACATGATCTACAGTCATCTGTATGAATACATCCATAGCGTGTGGTATGATTTCTCTATGGATTATCCTTGGAGTAACTTGGAGACATTCTTACAATACATAATAGACTATTATCCAGTGTAATATCATGTTTGCAATGCTTTTTAATACATTTTTTAACGATTACGTGACTTTCTTTCCATCTTCATTCTGATTGGTTATTCAAGGTCACTGTGATTTTGGCTATGATAGTTTAACTTAGCCGAGAGGGCTTTTGCAAAATAGTCAGACATCAAGGTTTTGAAAAATGTCATAAACAATGAATGGGAATAAAGTCAGAATCTCTCTTTTAAGTCCTTTACAGTCAGGCTTTCTTTATGCAAGTATTTTCCTAGGTGTGTACAGGTACACTCTTACGAGTGGCTTTATTACAGATCTCCGCTAATTGTAGCATCATAGTTCGTTGCTATGGTGGTTGGGTGATATTTCATATGTTTTTTAAATGAAATTTTACATTAAAAATTTTTCTTCTGACGTATATATTATTGGCGGTATTACATTCTTGAACTGCGCTACATTTGCTTCACTTTTATCAGACTACGTCACTTGATACTGATATCTGCGCGATGTGGTAGATTAAAGGAAATAGTAAGTTCAAAAGTTAAGCGTACATTATTGAATTTCCCTGGAATCATGCTATTTATTGAAACGCCCTAATACCTACCGGATAAAGATGTTGCCACTTGAAAAAAAGGATATACCGTATAGTTGCCCCACTTTTACATATCGGTCATATTTTTTTTTAAAAAAGCCTTATGTTTTAAGTTTGTCAGTGTGGTTACCCACGTAAACAGGATTGTAAAATACAGACTATAGTTCTGAATGATTGAACTTTAACTTCTCATCTCCCAATGATAAAAGTGTATATTTTCACTAAAAGTATGAAGGACTAGACTGATCAGGTGAAAATGAGTCATATTGCAAACCAGGGGACTTTCATAAAATAATAGAAAAGCAAACACTGATGTTGAATTATTAGTTTATGTGTAGCTAATATTGACTGAAGCTAACCGACATGTTGCCAGGCTATTCAAATGCATCAGAATAAATGTGTCCAAATACTAGTTCACTCATAATTTTATGTGTTTTGAATGGCTTAGTAAAATGTCGTTTAAAGTCAATCCCATTATATCTGACTTATAATTTCCCTCAAGTGATTTACAGAATTATCAGACACATATCAAAATTTTCTATAGTTTGGTTTGTAAGGGTTAGTTATGTTTTTACCTCAATCCGTGATCAACTCTTAAAAAACACAACTAACCCTTACAAACCAAACTATAGAAAATTAATCGGATGCTCGCTAGTGACTTGCTACAGGATGGAGTTTCCTGGAGTTCTAGTGAGAAGTCGTGACCAGTGAGGTTCAACCAGATGTCACGTGTGAGGATGGATGTTCCACCAACGACATTGGTTGGTGGTCACGCTAAAAATTACGGATTGGTAGAAGTTAGAATTCATGGACTGGCCATTGAATCGGGTCCCAGTGACTGAATGGTATACGAGCTTGTCTTGTAATCGGAAGGTCCTGGATTCGAATCCCAGTGGGTGCGTATTGCCGATGATTCCCAAACCAGGATGAAACAGCAGCTGTCCAGTACTCCCTGGTTTTCAATGGTTCTCTAACTGATATCAATCCGTGATCAACTCGTAAAAACATATCAAAATAATAAAGAGAGCTGAAAAATGGCAGAGAAGAATAAGAAGAGGAATAAGACTAAATGAATGTCAGCAAGTTCAAACAAAAAGGTCAGAAGAAGCAAGTACGTCTATCAGAACAGTGAAACATTAATCATTTTTACGTGTCTTATAAGAAGACAAAATTCGGGCCTTCTTACTAAATTTTATGAAATAAAACAGAGCTATGATGATCCCATATATATATATATATTGTGTTGATACAATGACGAAGATATGTGTGCTATCTATGAGAATTCATCAAACTACCTGCCTAAATCTGTCACATCTTATTGCTCAATGCCTTCAAAGTCACAATTCCTCGATGCTCTTGCAATCTTTCTGATTACATTTTTTGGTATGAAAATCACCATCAACAAACACTTATAGCTATAATTAATAGTGTTCTCTGAGCTGGTTGGTTTAGTTGCGGAGCTTTCGTCGTCCTTCTGGACAACATCTTCAGCGCAATATTTAGCATAAAGTGAAATGATTTAAATTTCTTCAGGAGTGATATAAATTACGTCTCCCGGTAACCATCTTTACATATGTATTGATCATTTTCTATTGACTTCGATTTTAAACTTTCTGGTCACATGATTTACTTTTTATTAATTGGTATATTTTGTCTATATTAACGTGTTTGTTAATTGCATATTCGTTTGAGTACCAGGCTTCTAGGAATTCCCTGGCACTTTTGGTGTTTCCTCTGTCTAAGATTTCGACATTATCCCAATCAAATTGATGTCCATAATTGTCTATATGCATTGAAACTAAAAAATAGATATCGTGTCTTTTCACGGCTGATTTGTGTTCTTGGATTCTAATTCGAAGGGGATGGGCACTTTGGCCGATGTAATGCTTGTTACAGTTCATACAATTTATTTTGTAAATGGTGTTAATTTTATCTCCTTTTTCTGTTGGATCTTTTGGTTTGCATAATATCGAATTAAGCGATTTGACTGGCTTGTGTGCTATATCTATTTCAAACGGTTTCAGTATTCTAGCTCAGAGAACACTATTAATTGCAAATCATCCACCTGAGCTACAAATCTTCTCTTCTCTAATTACTGTATGCGACAGTAAGACACCAATGATTAAATATCATAGCTTTTTGGCCAACAAATACTACACCTACGTCATTATTAGCTTTATACTCTTGTACAAATGATAGTTCACTTACAGAAAAGAGTACAAATAAAGTGACATACCACTTTACCCGCAGCTCCAACCTTGTGTCTCCTCAGGTAAAACAAGAAGTCTTTTCAGAAGACTTTATGCGCTTACGTCGAAGTATAAAAATTCACCATACCATATTTGGCACGTACTTTATGTGATGAAAATAGTGTCAGGCATGAAGTAACTAACCTTCTGTGCATTATTAAATAAACCATTTCGTTCACCCTTATAACATCAAGCTTTATTGTTACTGTACTTCTTATACTTAAAATCCCCGCAATTTTTTGTTTTTATTTGTTTATTTTTCCATAAATGTGAACATCATTTAAGCTGTGTTATAAGTGTTAATTTTGTATTTCCCCTCACTATACTATGTCAGTAGAACATTAGATTCAATAATCTATAACTTGCTATAATTTCCAAACTGAATCGACAATACTGTTTGAAGCAAACTCACTATTATTATTATATTACACATTATATATATTATTATATTTATTATTCTCATTTTGTACTTCGCATATTTTTGACTTCATACCGTAAATCTGGACAAATTCCTCTGGTTAATTTTGTTTTAATTTTATTTATATTTTGAGTAAATCAGGTGCAATATTGTGACAAATGCTGAGAATTCAATTCTGTATTATAAGTACTGTTTTTGGAATAAAGCAGATTATTATTATTATTGTTACTATATTTCGCTTTTATGAATATATCACATTTATTTTCAACTGACAATTTTTCTTCGACTAAAATGAAATTGGTTTGAGGATTTCATCATGAGCTGACATCAATTAGAGAACTATTGGAAAACCTGTAGGGATTACTGGACAGCTGTTTCGTCGGCCTAGTTTGGGACTCTTTAGCAGTACGCACCCAGGACCTCCTGATTACAAGGCGAGGTAGCTCGTAGTTCATTAAGCCATTGATCTGATCCAGTGGTCAGACCATGAATTCTAACTTCTGCCAATTCACGAAATGGCGTGAATGTCTTCTTCGATGAGTTACTGCCTCACCTTCAACCTGCTGTACCCTACTGGTCACGGCTTCCCACTAGTACCCCATGTTAGCTGCCTGAATAAGGTCAGTCACTAGTGAGCATTAGATTAATTTTCAAGCATTGGTTTTGTAGGGACTTTGTTTGACTGGTTGGAGGATTTCATCATGAGCTGACATCAGTTAGAGAACCATTTTAAAACCAACAGGGAGTATTGGACAGAGTTCCAAACTAGGACGAAACAGCTGTCCAGTACTCCTAGGTTTTCCAATGGCTCTCCAACCGATGTCAGCTCATGCTGAAATCCTTCGACCAATCAAACAAAATCCCTACAAAACCAATACTTAAAATGAAACTAACAAAAGTAGAATTTAGAAAAGTACCAGTGTACGCGAGCTTGTTACTATTTTGATTTTATACAGTTGAATTTCGGTCATGTTATGCAAGCATATGATTGTTAGGTTGTATTATTCATATATTGAACGAATTTCAATAAAGTTGACCAAGAATTCAAAGCAATTTAACTCAAAGTCAACTTGATCAGTGAAACGTTATTCAGCATTGTACAGAAATGTTCACTTGACTACAGAAATACTGTTTATCATCACACTTACTAAATTTATACTTCACCTAATTATTTTTCTTGATAAATTTTCATGCAGTAATGATGTTTCATTGTTTTACAGGTAAGGGATGTTGTGGCTTGAATCAAAGTAGTGCATTTCTAAGTTTGGTGTGTCAATGGCACAGCGGTAAGATGCTCGCCAACCACGCCGCATGTGGTTCGGGGTTCAAGCCCCGGCCACAAACGCATTCCCAAACCTCGCTAAGCCAGTAATAAGACTGGTAAAGAGGAAAGGTTGGGCATGAGGCTAGCAACCCCATCCCTTAAAAATGAACACTACTGCTGCCGAAACCTCAAGTCTCTAGCCTGAAGCCCTATGTTTCACTGGAGACATACAGGAATAAAATAATAAGTATAAATAATAATAATCTTCCAAGTTATGCCTTGTCTAGTAAGATTTTGCATCTTTTTTTGAAGAGTTTCACTATTCTTAACCCCCAGATTTCCATTTAATAAAAATTTACTGCTTATCATCCTAACAAAGTTTACTTCAGAAAGTATATCTATGATAAAAGTATATTTTGTTGAAATTCAGGCTATAAAGTCACATTAAAATAGTTAACATCTAAAATTTGTTATATATACGTGTAGCCTGTGACTACTTATTTCATCATTTACAAGGCTGCAAGTACGTATTAAACAATTATCAACTTAGAAGTGTACTCCAGGCCAATATCGTGTGATAAGAAGAAAATTACTCTGGGAGTCTTCTTCACCTGTGAACAAATTGCCAACCACAAAGAAGTACACTACATTAAATACCCCTCATTACCATCCATTTTTTAAGAGTTAGGAAGGATTTTCAAATCATGCGCGAAAACCATTGTCATGCATTATTAATAAATTAACTAGAAGAGTCGAGATCTTTTTTGAGAATAGTAATTAAAACCAACTGACCTTACAGATAATCCTTTCTGTGGTAGGCCAGTATACTTTTAGATTGAATAATAATAATAATAATTTACCTTATTCCAAAAACAGTACTTGTGATACAGAATGGAATTTTCAGCATTAATCACAATATTGCATCTAATTTCCTCAAATTATAAATAAAATTAATCACAAAGAAAATTTTTCTACATTTACAATACGGTTAATATAAAAAAAATAAATAAAAAATAAAAAAACATGCAGCATATAAAATGGAAATAATAATAATGATAGCAGCTAAGGTAATGATAATAATAATAATAATAATAATACAAGTGAAAATTGCCGTCGGCTTGTTTCACACAGTATTGTCGATGCGGTATACGAATCCTTGCATGATTAAAAATATTGAATATGATGTTCTCTTTACATGATATGGTGAGGGGAAAAACAAAGATTACAGCAGTCATAGAGATAAGTTGGTGTTTGCAGTTATGAAAGTAAAAACAAAGAAGCAACAGGACCATAAATATAATAGAAATAATGAAAGTAAAACTTGAAGGTATATAAGGATGGATGTAGGAAATTGTTTATTTACTGGATGAAAAAAGGTTAATCAATTCTTGCCTGACGCTATTTTCATCACATAAAATACGTGCCAAGTATGGTATCATAGAATTTTGATACTTAGACGTGCCAGCATACAGTTTTCTGAAGTTACTTCTCGTTCTACCTGAGGAGATGCAAGGTGAAAGCTGAGGGTGAAGTGGATGCTCCAAGTCAGACAAAATCCCTTAAGCAAATTTACTGCACGAAGTCAAATGCCTATGTGGTTATTATAACCATATCGTCTCTAAAAGTCAGATTAAACGATTATTTGTCAATACTTCTCTACATGAAGTGTATTGCTTTCAGCTAAGTTTCCACTTCGATTTATCATAATTCTTATATTTTGTAATCAAGAAATTGCGAAAAGTGACATTTCCTTTGAGTATATTCTTCACTAACTAAGACACTAAGCTGAAATCAAGTTTGGTCATCATTATTTAAAGCATTGACTGTATACAACTGAAGATTCAGCCATGAAGTGTGGCAATATTCATAAAACATTTAAAAAAAAAGAGTGAGTAACAATTTTCTCAGTACATTCATCATAATCAGCTTACTGTAACTGAACTTGTCGGCACAGAATCACGCATAATAAAATTGCATAACAATGTTGATGCACCATTTGATATACAATTCAAGGCTAATAGACCAAACTTCATTTGAGGCATACAAATTGCTCTGTCAAACTGGTCAGTTTGATATTCATTCCATCCAGGTATATTTGACATCCATCCCTGTGTAAAATTAATGATAGGCATTATTAAAAATGTCTGCTTTAAAGCGAAATAATATGAGAACAAACTGTGATCAATTCACACGACCTAAATAATGTTTCTGATTATGCAATCAGTTAGTGCACGTGGTCTAACATCATTAACCTGATTAAATCACTTAGCTATATCACACACACATACACACAGAGTATATCAGCCGTGAATAAGAATTTATTAAAGAAATTAAAAGCTTGAACAGTATTTGTTAATCTTTTCAGGCTGTAACCTTACATCCTTCATCAGAAATCAAAAATAGGTCACTGTAATATACTCAGTTCAACTATTTGAAAGACACGGAAATAGAAGCTGTAGAATTAACAAAAGTGTGACTGAGTACGTTGTCTTTTTAACCTGTATGCATGATAATTTCACTCAATAGCCAATACATCAAAACTGGTGATGGAATACTTGGATTTCAAAGCAATAACTCATCCCATACAGGTCAAGAAATCTTCTTTGCAAGACCAGTGAAATGAGCTAATCATTTTAAGTGTTGGTTTGCAGGAAATCGCTTGGTCACAGGTCTAAACATGACACTGGCTGGAGGCTACTCCGTATATCGCGAACTGACAGAAGTTCAAATTCATAGGCCATTAGACCAAGTTCTAGTGTCTGAATGGTCTACGAGGTCACCTTGTAACCGGAAGGTTCTGAATTTGACTTCTGGTAGGTGTATTCTACTGAAGAATCCCAGACGAGGACGAAACAGCTGTTTAGTACTCCGAGGTTTTCCAATGGTTCTCTAGATGTTGTCAGATCTTGATCAAACTTGTAAGGAATAATTTTGACTAATAATGCTTTGTAATTATTGCTATTATTATTTTGCTTGATGGAGTCTAGCAGTGGAGTCCAAGATGCCCATACATTCCTGTTTTGGACTCGTTGGTTGAATGTATCCTCATTTCCAGTGAGTTACGTTGTTCTCACTAAGATATGAACCCTGCATCCACCATTTCAAACTCTAAAGCATTTTACACTAGGCTATGAGGGCCAAGACAGTCACTAACTGGTAATGCAGGTTTCATTCAGCTGACGAGTTCAAAATGCGACAAAATAAACATCTTAGATTCTATCACTTGTCAGAATTAACCAAAATTACATCACATCAGTCCTCAAACACCGTCTAGACGTCAGTACAAGGAGCGAATATTTCAACAAAGACTGAGCATTTCTATCCGACATAATATAAATGAACAGAAAATGCAAAGTAACCTTCTTATTATTATTGTTTCCTTTAGCTCCTAGAGGAACATAGGGCTTTAGCCGCACGTCTCTATTGCGTTCGGTTCTCCGCCAACGTTTTTACCTGGCTCTACGTCTGTCTGCATGCTTTCATCTACTCTTCACATCACATCCTCTATGTCACCCCACCCTCACACTGACGACCAACTCGCCGCTTCCAATTCGTGTTTTATTCTACATAGAGCCTGGCGTGTGATATCACTTGATGGTTTTCTCAGAGTATGGCCAATCAACCTCCATTTCTTCCTACACAATCGGTTTCTGCTAGGTTGGTTCGCTCATCGCCAGAGAGCACTGTTGCTGATCTTTTCTGGCCAGCCATCTGATCTTGAGTATTAAGCGAAGACAGCTGTTGATGAAGGTCTGTTGTTTTTTCGAAGTGCCCTTCATGACACGGCACGGTGCCAAGTCTCTGATCCATATAGTAGCACTAAATTCACATTGGAGTTGAAAATACCTATCTTATTTTTCATGCCGAGTAGTGCTGTTGATATCCACACAGACTTGACAGTTATGAAAGCTTGCCTTACTTTCCCGATGATCCTAGCTTCGATATCCTCATCAGTTCGGTCCGCCTGTAGTTAAAACAACGCTTCCCAGGTAGGTAGGTAAAGCAGGTCGCTTCTTTCAAATTTCTCCCACTTATACTGAGTGACTGTTGTCTGTTGTCTGCTGTTGTTGCCATTGCTGTTGGCCATGAATCTTCATCACCTCTGTCTTCTCTATGTTCACCTGAAGTCCTATCTTTGATGCTTCTTCTGCTAACTTGTTGCTTTCACTTGTATATCTTCTAGTTTCTCGCAAATCAGACATATGTCATCGGCGAAGTCCACATTCTCCAAGTTTTTTGTATGTGGGTCCATTTTATGCCTGTCTTTTCTTTGCCAGGCCTGCTGTCTGTCGCATGTTTCAGTTTGCCGGAATCAACAGCTTTATTCGCTACATAATGAAAAATCAAATGGCTGGCAGGCCAGAAAGATTCAGCAACAAGAGACTATGGGAGTAAACCAACAGACCAGAATCAATTGCTCAACAAATGTGCAGAAGAACATGGAGATGGATTAAGCATACACTGAGGAGGCTGTCGAACGACATTATACACTAAGCCCTCGAGTGGCATCTCAATGGTGGATGACCAGTAGGTCGTGAGGGGTTGACATGGAGGTCGGGAGAAGAAGAGATGAAAGAGTTTGGTCAATTTTGGACCAAGCTGAAGAGGACAGGAGAAATTAGAAGAAAGTGGAGATGTGTTGTTGTAGCCCTATGTTCCAGTCGGAAAGCAAGGGAACAATAATAATAATAATATGGTATATAATATTTAAACAAGTTGTCTGTACTGACATACATATATGTGTATATATATAAACATACTTTGCTTTCAAACAACATAAGTTCACAGATGATACGAATTTTTGGATTTAAATTTTTAATGGAAACAACACACATCAAGTTTTTCCAGTCATCTTCATCAGGTGTTTGACTGCGCTTATTCGATAGAATAATCACAGCTTCTGCAGTTCTTACCTAATCACAAAAAGACAGAAAGGAAAAAAAAACAATGAAAAAGATCCATACACATAAAATTTATCTCAATATCAGATAAATTAATTTCAGGGTGAGAGAAACAATAAATTTAAACTTGGGAAAAAAACAATCTAAAGTTAAATGTTTTATGAATTCAAATAGTTTTAGAAGTGAAAAGAAAGTCCTTTTCTGTCAAAAATCGTGCAACATATCCCAACGACAATAGCAAATTCAACCAGTGGTGACTTTGAATTTCAGTAAATTTTGAGTTATGAAATAAACATTTTGAATTTAATGAACAGCAGATAGACGAAAAGAATTGGCTAATTAACTGGCTTTCTAACTAGGCCTCTAGTTAACTTCAAGCACACGCGTCAGTGACACAGCGTCTAGCACGCTCGCGGATCATGCACATGGTCCGGGGTTCGATCCTTGGCCGACGCACTCCTTTACCTCGCTAAACCTGTAATAAAAAGCTGGTAAGGAGGAAAGGTTGGGCATGAGGCTAGCAACCACATCCTGTAAAAATAAGCACTGCTACAGAAACTTCAAGCCTCTAGCTTGAAGCCCTATATTCCACTGGGAACGAGAAGGGAAAAAAACACGTGTTATCGCACATCTACCACGTCAATGCAAATGAAACTCAGAGATATCATCAGCTTGCATTACAAAAAGAAACATTTTCAACTAATTGATTTCTATGTGAAACTTTGACATTGTTAACATGGAAATATATAAATAATTTTTATAACTGTGTTTTTGTAAGCTTATCGGATAGTAATCAGGGTCATAGGTGCTATTTTTAATTGCTCACAGAGAACTTGTTCATGTAATGTTCGATTTGTATTGAAAAAAGAGTTACACAGTATGATAACAGTGAAACTGTTAAAGATTATATCAGTCACAGGATATACACTCACATATAACATTTTTCATTATACTTTAAGCGATTGCCTAAATAACTGTTGGTTACCAGCAAGGGGAGGTAGACGTTGTTGTAGATTTGATGATTGATAGAATGTTCTAGTCTTTTTGTTGGTACTTGTTTTCAACTTTTATAACAATGACTCACATTACAAGCTACACAGGTCAATAAAACTACTAAAGAAAATAATGAGATCCATGAAACAGTTAGTCTCCTCTTTGCAAGAGATTAACAGTAATCACTCATAATGTGCCTCAAAGTCATCAATAGGATGTACATTTTTAATAGATATGTGTGGAACCTGGGTACTATGGTATTGCGTAATTCCATAGTAATTTGTATATATAGCGTCGGTGGCACAGCGGTAGAATGTTCACCAACCACACCTCATGTGGTTCGGGGTTCGACCCCGGTCGACGCACTCCTTTACCTCGCTAGGCCAGAAATAAGACTGGTAAAGAGAGAAGGCTGGGCATGAGGCAAGCAACCCCATCCTGTAAAATAAACACTGCTACAGAAACTTCAAGCCTCTAGCTTGAACTCCTATGTTCTACTGGGAATGTAAAGTAATAAAAAAAATTTGTTTATTACATATATCACACAATGAAACGTCATTATTTACCGGATGACGTTTAGAACCCAAATTATTGTTCATAATCATATCAGTTGTAGTTGTTGTAATTTCTGAGCTGGATGGTTTACTCACAAAGCCTTCACCACCTTACCAGGCAACATTCTCAGTGCATAATTCAGCCTAAACTTAGTTGTTTATACTGAGTGTAGAAGATTTCCAAACTGACTTCAGAGTGATGAAATTCTGCTTTGCCTTTCCAATTCTGGTTTTGACATCCTCATCTGTGCTGTTGCCTTCGCATTCAACAGAAGTTCGTAAAGCCATAATCCCCTATTTGGCCTACTAAGACAAAACCAACAGAATAACTCATCCACCACCCGTTACTTGTATTTTCAACCCCTCTCTTATCATTCATTGACCTTATTACATCTTCCTTAAAACGTATTTTATTTACTTCCCTTACAACCTAGCATTACTTAATCAGTCCATTTGTTTTTCTTAGCCTTTATCAACTACTTCTACTTGAACATTTGTTTGTTTAATCATGCTGTTTTTCGTTTTTCTTGTTATCGCATATCGCCTAACTTTTTCATCCTTGTTATTGATAGAACCATTATTATTATCATCACTCTTTCTATATATATGACTTACTTTGGCTCTATCCAAATCTTCTGGTATTGTCACAGATCCCTTCAAAAATGTAATAGTAGTACTTTCTCTTTGAAGCAAAGCTTTCAGACGAATACCAGGATCATTCCTACAGTAAAATAAAGGAAATTAAGTACCGTAAGTGAAATAGATTTCATTGCTTCGTTAAGCGTCAATCTCTTTACTTTACAGTAGAATAAAAAGTGGAAACCTGTCTTTGTCTGTATAAACCACGCCATCATTCACTTTTATGAAAACAAAGCCTGATTGTTAGCAATAGCTATGTACTGATGAAACACTTGTTAAATGTAATTTCAAAATATGTTATTACATTTATCAGTATTCCTCTGTGTTTCCAGTGGAAAACAGGGTGTCATTAGTACATCTTCGTTTCACAATGTTCTCTGAAGTTTCCTTTAGCTTTCTCCAAGATTGTCTACAAGCTGTGATTTCCTCCTTTGACGATCTCCTCCTCAGGCGTTTCCCATTCGGTTTCAACTCGGCGGCCTAGTGTTTGATATCGCTCTATGGTCTCCTCAGTTTTATTCTGCATCTTTGTTGGGTGATAGGTTCGGCATATGTGAGAGCTACGAGATTCTGTATGGTACCAGTTATGTAATATTCAGCGAAACATGTCTTCAAAGTAGCATAATGCTGTTCATCATGACTTATATCAACGCTGATGACGTCATATTCTGTCACGCTTGTGTGCTCTTCGTATAATTACCAACTAAAATGTCATCCACTTCTATCTTGAAAAGCCTCATCAATACCTACTGATAGCCATTTACCGTCATAGTTTGTGGAGCTTGTGCAAGAACTCCACAGTTTCTCAGCCGACTCTACCGTAGATGATTTTTATAACTTAGCGAACTACATACAGTACAGAATTTGTCGATTTATGTATGATTCTAGTCTGAATAAGCATAAAAGCACTAGAACAGGTGAGATTATATCTTAGAGAAAAAAACAAGTAATTTTTTCCCACACAAAAATATAATGTGATAAGTATTAAATCTGGATAAAATCGACACAACTTGTTTTATACGACTGTACTGTGTAGGCTGACTGTGATTACCACGCAATTTACAAAATTAGTTGTTTAAAGGCAGGGAAATGTACATTACTTTTAAAACAATTTTTAAACTCATCTTCATAGAAGCAGTCAAATACTGATAGTGTACAACTAACTGCCCAACGTTAATCTTTGGTATAGAATTTGAGAAACTAAGCTTATTAAGCAGTAACCATCAATTATTGTTATTATATATTATCTCCTAAAAGTTATGCATCCGAGGATGGAGACAGTAATTCTTGCGTAAAAGTGTTTGTCACCGCTTGACAACGTGTAATTTCATAAACGAAACGGTTGCTTACGAAAAAGCATTTTTTTATTTTACCAGCTTTCAGTTCATGACGGCAATTTAAGCTATATGTGTATTATAACTTAATTCATGAATAATCCCCATTCAGACATTAATGGAAACAAAGCACGTAGTTCAGCGAAGAGTCTCTTTTCGGTGGCGAATTCATTCACTTAGCTGTACAATAGCGATTATATATGCCTATTTTTGTATGTGTTTGTGTACATTGGGTTTGTTCGATAAAAATAAAAATAAGTTATGGTTATTGCTATCAAGACATTTCAAAAATGTGGTGAGTAAACGAACTGTAACTAGGGGGGGAGGGTGAAGACTAGTAAGAGGGTAGTGGTGATGTGTTGTCGAAAAACATGGTTATTAATGTTAATCAACACATAAAAGAAGTTGAATAAGCGTGATTCAGTTACGTAATAAGATGAATAGTTTAATGAGTGAGTTATGATTAAGATGCATATAGAAACAAAGGAAAATGTGGAATTATGTAAGAGTTCTTATCGGACAAACTTAATGTACACAAATATTCAAAAATAGGTATATATATAACTGCTATTGTACAGCTAAGTGAATGAACTCACCGGAAAGAGACTCTTTGCTGAATTAAGTATTATAACTTAAGCAAATTTTTTAAACAAGCGGTTAATAACAGTGTAAAAACTCTACTCTAAATTCTATAAGTACCTAGTTCCCAGTAAAGGATAATGAAGGTGACTTCAGTTATTTATATGTCCTATTTTAACGAAGCCAATCATACGTTTATAACACACCATGTTCCATTAGTCAAGGTTTCTTCAGAATTTTCATAGGAATATCGATTGACTGCAAGAATACTTTCATGAGATTATCAACAGTTTGAAAGACCCTCTTAACAATAGGAGTTCTTGAAGTTCAGTGGACTTCAGGATTTGCATTTGCTTTTGGGGATTCCAGTAACTGTAAAATAGCATGCCACTACCTGTCTTCCATATAAACATGTTATCAGAAGTATATTTGGGGATACAGACAACTAGGTAGCTCTTATTCTCTTATTACTCTGTTGAATAATCAGATAAAAAAATAATGGGTCGTTTACATGAAGCTTCTGCCAAGAGTTTTAGACAGCAAAACATGTGTGGTGAGAGCTGGCTGCTAGCGAAAGTTGGTAGACAGTAATTGACGTCAATGTTTATGTCCCCAATATTGGTGGTGGTGAGAAAATGAGAACAAAGGCTTTGCGTAGGCGGATACAGTTAGCATATGGATGATCTGACACAGCCACAAAGAGATGCAAGGTTAACTTTCTGTGAGAAACAACCAATCAAAAGACTGTATTTTCTACTAGCAATAATCTACAATAATGTACATGAAAATATATAAATATGTGTTGATTTTCCTTAATAAGGGATCTGTTGCCTGGCCCTTGTCTTCTGTTGTAACACTATAACTTAAGTACATTTTTTTTTAAAAGCGGTTAGTAACACTGTAAAACTCTACTCTAAATTCTACAAGTATCTAACTCCCAGTAAAGGAAAGTGAAGGTGACTTCAGCTATTTATGTGTCCTATTTTCACGAAACCAATCATTCGGTTATAACAGGTCAAACGGTATGACAGAATGTCCCATCAGTCATGGTTTCTTCGAAATTTTCATAAAAATATAGACTGATTGCAAGACTATTTTCACGAGATTATTGACAGTTTGAAAGACCCGCTTAACAATAGGACTTTTCAAAGTTCAGTGGACTTCAGGATTTGCATTCGCGTTCAGGGATTCCAGTAACTGTAAAATAGCATCCCACTACCTGTCTTCGATATAAACATGTTATCAGAAGCATGTTCTTATTCTTGTATTATTATGTTTAATAACCAGATAAAAATAATTGGTCGTTCACATGAAGCTTCTACCAAGAGTTTTAGACAACAAACAAAATATCCATTCATAATCGACATAAAAATGACTAACGATCATATCTGCTAGTGTATTCCCATTCTTCAAGCCCTTTTTGAACTCGTTCCCTAACTTAGTGATTTTGGTTATGTAAGATTAGTTACGCTGAAGTATTTTTAATTCAATCCATTCCACTATCTCTTTCAAGTTGTGTTATTGGGCTTGTTAAGAGCTATGGCTTCATATTCGTGGGGAAAATATTCAAATAACGCTAACTAACAGTTAGTTGACAATCCATTCAAATAGTATGGAAATTGAGGCTAATGTCTAACTGACTAGTTTTCAAGCTGATGTCGAATCACCTATAGAAAAAAGTTGACTTGGATACTTAATCCTGTATCAACATTTCATCTAGATGACATTTTGACTTGAGCTTCATAAATACTTGTGATAGTGACCTCGAATGTTATTCTTTGCAATAAATTGAAGTAGGTGAAAAATGGTATCACCTTATGTACTGAATTCAGAAATCAAAGCATGTGTAATGCAAACAACCAAACTCCTTTTTTTAGTAATAACACATTAATTCAATGAATGTAAAGGTTATAACTTGATTTTTAATCCTTATTCACTTCTAATCTATTCGAATTTTCCACTTTTATATGTAACTCCCAAGTTAACTGACAGTTAAAACTTTTATTTTATGGGAGTACATGAGTAGAAATGAAAGTTGAAACATGCATAAAACAGGAATATCAAATTATGGAATGAAATCAGTGATTTATCAAGCGAACAGTGCAATGTACACTTCACCATAGTTACCATGGTAGAGATAATATACTCAACTTATAATCCGTCACCTGATTAATACTGTACATGGTAATAATAATAATAATTTACTTTATTCCAAGAACAGTACTTATAATACAGAATGGAATTCTCAGTATTTGTCACAATATTGCATCTGATTTACTCAAAATGTATATAAAATTAAAAATTAATCGGAGGAATTTGCCCACATTTACGACATAATTATTAGATATAATAATAAATAATAATAACAGTGAGTTTGTTTCAAACGGTATTGTCGATTCAGTTTGGAAACTTTAGCATGTTATGGATAATTGGGTCTAATGTTCTGTTGATATGGTATAGTGAGGTGAAATACAAAGTTAACAGTCATAATACAGCTTAAAATTATGTCCACACTTATGAAAAATAAAATAAACAAAACGAAAAAATTGAGAGGATTATAAATATAAGAAATACAATAACAATAAAGTATGATGCTTTAAGGTTGAAGGAAATGGTCTATTTAGTGGTGCTAAGAAGGTTAGTTAGTTCATTTCTGACACTATTTTCATCACATAAAGTACGTGCCAAATATGGTATAGTGGAATTTGTATACTTAGACGTACGTGCATAAAGTCTTCTGAAAAGACTTCTTGTTTTACCTGAGGAGACACAAGGTTGGAGCTGCGGGTAGAGTGGGTGCTCAGAGTCTGACAAAATTCCTCTAGCGAATCTGTTGCATGACATCAAATGCCTATCGGTGACAATGCCAACGATATGGCCCAATGGGATACCACTCGTCCTACTGACAGTCTTCAGAGTTCTACGAAGTATGACATAGTCCTTTTTAAGCAATCCAGGAAAGAATAATGGTGAACAGTAAAGAAGAATAGGTAGAATACACGAGTTGATAAACTGTAAGAGGAGTGGTTGAGTTATGCCTGAGTGCCTTAACTTCTTAATGTAAAAAGTCAAACGAAATATTCTTTTAGAAATCGCTAAGACATGAGAAGACCAGGATAGGTCAGAAGAGAGAACTAATCCAAGATACTTAACTTCAGACTTGCTTTCTATATCAGTATCATCGATTTTGCAAGGGTCATAGGAACCAACGGCTTCATTTAACTTTCGTTTACATCGGAAACTGAAATTAACAGTCTGACATTTGGAAGGATTAAGTTTAAGGCCGTTAGACGAAGACCATTTGCTAATTTCTGATAGAAAGTTGTTTATCTTAGTGCAGTCAAGCTGAGAGTTAACAGACATTGAAATAGTTAGATCATCGGCATACTTAACAAAGTTCATTTCATCGGAGTGAGGCAAGTCATGCAAGAAGAAAGAAAACAGAAAAGGAGAAAGGACAGCGCCTTGAGGGACACCAGCCTCAGTAAGCAATGAAGTGGACGACTTTCCCTGACATACAGTGTATTGATTTCTTTCTGAGAAATAAGAATGGAGCCATTTGACAACCCAACAGTCAGTTTGCGTTTCAGCAAGCTTGTTTAGTAAAATGTCCCTAGGTACTGAGTTGAAAGCAGATGTATAATCTAGAAAGGTGCAGCGAACAAATTTAGCCCCCTTGTCTAAGCTGGAGACAATGTTATGATACAGGACTGCAGCTGCGTCGAAAGTACTTCTACTATGGTACCAAGAAAACAAGAGAAACTGGGCGAGGGTAGACTTTAAGCACCACTAACTACCAATCAAGAAATGACCTCATACGCACCAATCACGTGAAGGAGGCATTTTTGTGTATGAAATACATGTATTTATGAAATAAAATGCATAAAAACTGTAGAAAAGTGTTACAGAGGATACCTTCCTCTCACATGTGATAAAAATAGCTCTCAGTTTTAGGTTCGAGTATCAACAGAGTATAATTCCATTGTGGATAAACTTTATTTTGATAAAGTCTCATAGTGTAATAGAGTAATATTTACTGAGCAATAAATTGTGCTCGAAACGTTGTCATCAGTAAACATTACTGTATAAGATAAATTTTACCCACAATGGAATTATACTCTACCACCACAGTGCCCAAGTTCTATTCTTGTATCAGCAGCGTAATTTAACCACATCCTATCCATGTAATTATTTAAGTCTTCTAACTCTAACAATAACCCTAATCTTTCCTAAACCTAACCCTAACGTGAAAATATCCCAAAACCAACTGTAATCTAACTCGAATCAACCATAATGTCGCCTTTATTAGATTAACTTAATCCTAACTTATCCTTGGCTCAAAGAGTAATTTAATCTTTTTCAAACCTAAGCTGAAACTTGCCAGATATCCCAGTTAATAACATAACACTTCAATGAGCATATTTCATTGATGATGACAACATTATTTGCCAGGTTTCAATAACGTGTTCAATGATTGATTCAAGGTCACTGGTGCGGTCGCACTCCATTGGTAGTTGGTGGTGCTTAAAGTTTAACTTTGCCAGAAGCTGTTTGATATGAACATGAAGAGAACCTCGATAGTATAATCAAGCTGACGGGAAACACTGTACGATGTTTTTCCCCGTCTAGGCGACTAGTTTGTCATCAGTGAAACCTGATGTGCTAAGCTCTGGAAACTGTTACAGTTCATTCAGGCAGGATTTTATTTTTATCAGCAATTTTTATGTTTTCAAATAAGTATCAGGGTCAGTGTGATAGATAAATCTAAAAACTATACATCTGATTTCTTAATAAAAATCTTTGAAGATTTCATCATGAAATGACATCGGTTAGAGAACCATTGGAAAACCTACAGAGAGTATTGGACAGCTGTTTCGTCCTAGTTTGGGAATCTTCATCAGAACGCACCTGCCACTGGGGTTCGAACCCAGGACCTTCTGGTTACAAGATGAGCTAGCTCTTAGACGATTAAGCCACCGGGACTCGATCCAATGGTCAGTCCATGAATTCAAATTTCTGCCAAATCACGATATAGCGCAACCGCTAGCCAATGTCTTCAGCGAGTATTTGTCCCCACATCCGACCTGCTGCACCCTACTGGTCACGACTTCTCACTAGAACCTTAGGTAACTACTTACCTGAACAATGTCAGCTCATGATGAAATCCTGTAACAAATCAACCAAATCCCTACAAACCATTACTTGAAAAATCTTTCTCTGATTTTTCAGTGATCTAACTAGCGGTGGATGACTGTAGCACGGAGAAGAGGCAGACCCTTACAGCCTTTACATCTACTAGATTCTTTCAGGTTCAAAAATCACAGCCTTCACGGAATAATAATACTCTAGAGAAATGAATGACTACTAAAACCATTTGGAAGTGTTCCCCGCCCCCCTCTCAGACCACTGCATCAATTGAAACAAATTTTTCAAACAGTAAAATGAAAAAAAAGTGGTGAGATGGAAAAAAAATACTACATCAATGGTAAAAAAAATCAACTGATCACTAGGCTGACTGACTGACTTACTCAGACAAAATAACAATCGTCATATTTTCATCATAATGACCTTTATCAGCGTTTACATATTCATTGAAAAATATTGAAACTGTCTTGTAATTTATAGATCCACATACAACTATGTGCCTGTGAGTGTTAAGTTAGTTGAAAATTAAAAAAAAAGTGTCTGTAGTACGGGTATATGAAAATACAGTTCAATGATAAGCACAAACCTCTAATGAAATGATCATTCAGTTGCCAAATAATGTTTGTAACCTGCTAAAACTTAAATCATCAAAGCTCTGAGTGATTAGATATACCCTTGTGCGCAAATAGTGTATGTATTAGTATGCAGGAATGTAATTTAATCAATTCACCTAACTAATTAAATGTATCCATAATTTAAGTAACAATTTGTGCGCGAAATACCGTCTATTGATTAATATTGTATCAGTCTGTGCTAAATCTAAACTTCTGTTGAGAAGTTGATGCCATTTCTTAGGTTATGTATATACCATACATTCTTTAATGCAGTTCTCTAGATCACTCAACACATTTTTATAAAACACAAAATAATTGAGCAGAGAATATTCTTTTTCGATAATTTCCTCTTCTGGCTCTACAATTATATCTATCTTTATATACATAGAATATTCTAGAATAGTAGTCAATAACAATATTAGTGTTTTTTTAAATACTGTCTATTTGTAAAGTAAGATCAATGGTAGTAAGATCAACTAAAATTAGGAAAATTCCACAAAAATTCATGATTAATTCATGATTCAAACCTAGATGGCCAAGGTAAGGATAATGTCTGAACTAACTTCTTTTGGATGCACAAATTAGGCTTGTTAATATGGATCCCAACAGCCTCAGCAAAACTTAGTAAATGAACTCTTAAGACGAAGTCGGTATGCGGTAAATGACTTTTTTGAAAGCCTGGTTAACATCAATCTTGTGTTCTGTATCCACAAGATGAGATAGAATAGCGCTACGGAAAGATTTTGTTTGTCCTTTACTTAACCACGCAAGGTGATGCTCGAAAATCTGACGAGAAACATGCCTAATTGTACAGCGTATGTAACCGGCTCCACAGAAGCAGGTGAATTGGTAGACACACATCTTGTGGATACAGAACACAAGATTGATGTTAACCAGGCTTTCAAAGTCATCTACCGCGCATACCAACAAATTTTAACTTCGCCTTAAGAGTTCATTTACTAAGTTTTGCTGAGGCTGTTGGGATCCATATTAACAAGCCTAATTTGTGCATCCAAAAGAAGTTAGTTCAGACATTATCCTTACCTTGGCCATCTAGGTTTGAATCATTAATCATGAATTTTTGTGGAATTTTCCTAATTTTAGTTGATATTCTATTCGCTACTATATCTTTATTATTATTATTATAATTTAAGCATCTTTAATGAACTGTAATTCCATTGATTTTACTTTACAAATCTGTAGTATTTAAAAAACACTAATATTGTTATCAACACATTTTACTGATATTTCCCCGCCCAAATCCAAATGAATACATGTTATTGTAAAACCTTCCAGTTGATATCTATCAAAGCTGCTATCCCTGATGATGGAAGTCGCCATCTTCCACACTGATAGTTTATTTATCCATTTGTTCTGCCTTCATTGAATCTATTTCCATAAAGTTCCTAGTAAATTTGACAGTTATCACTTTTTAAATGGCTGGTTTAAATTTTATTATTTCAGCTAAATTATCCATTGAAGTGAAAAGAATTTGTGTACCTGCAGGCATTTATTTTCACGCTTATTGAGAATCTCAAAAATAGATTGTGGAAATTAAAAAATTCTCTTAGTAGTTATCTATCATATCCTCTAAAACGTTTCATCCCTACAAACCAACACTTGAATATCGATGAAATGCTCGCTGGCGACTTGCCTTATTCAGGTAGGTAGTTACCTAGGGTTCTAGTGGGAAGTCCTGACCAGTAGGGTGCAGCAGGTCGGGTGTGAGGACAAATACTCGCCGAAGGCATTGGCTAGTGGTCGCACTGTGTCGTGAATTGGCAGAAGTTAGAATTCATGGGTTAGCCATTGTATCGGGTCCCAGTGGCTTAATGGTCTACTAGCTAGCTGGCCTTGTAATCAGAATGTCCTGGGTTCGAACCCCTGTGGCGGGTGCGTGCTGATGAAGAGTCCCAAACTAGAACGAAACAGCTTTCCCGTACTCCCTGTTGGTTTGTCCAATGGTTCTCTAACCGATGTCAGCTCATGATGAAATCCTTTAACCAAAATTTTTTGTTAGTTAAGGAAACTAATAGCGATGGAATAATCAATCTTTGAGTTCACTGATGTCCCTAAAATAACATATTATATCAGTACACACATTGAATTAAATAATTAGTAGAAACTAAACCAAAATAACATTCAGTGTTTTCAGTCGGGTAGATAAGTGAAAAAGCTTTTCACTAATAGTAATTTCCATAATCATAGTGAAATTTTAACACTGTTGAAATCTGTTCACACAAACTAGCCAATTATTATAATTATATTATTATTTCCTTTAGTTCCTAGAAGAACATAGGTCTTCAGCCGCACGTCTCCATTGCGTTCGATTCATTGCCAACGTTATCACCTGGCTCCATATCTACCTACTTGCTTTCATATCCTCTTCACATGACCTCCTCCAGTCACTCTCGCACTGACGACCGCCTCGCCGCTTCCCTTTCGGGTTCCAATCGAGACAGAGAGCCTGGCGTGTGATGTCACTTGATGGTTTTCTCAGAGTATGGCCAGTCCACCTCCATTTCTTTCTGAATATTTTTTGCACAACCGGTTTCTGGTTGGTTCGCTCCCAGAGATCCCTGTTACTAATCTTTTCTGGCCATTCGATCTTGAGCGAAGTGCTGAGAAAAGATAGCTGTTGATGAATGTCTGTAGCTTATTTGAAGTGCCATGGTGACGCGCCAAATCTCTGATCCGTATAGAGTAGCACTGACTTCACATTGGAGTTGAAAATCTGGATCTTATTTTTATGCTGAGCACTGTTGATCTCCACAAGGACTTGACAGTAATGAGGGGTTGCCTTGCTTTCCCGATCCTCACTTTGATATCCTCATCAGTTCCATCCGCCTGTAGTTGAAAAGATGCTTTCCAGGTAGATAGGTAAAGGAGGTAGCTTCTTTCAGATTTCTCCCATTGATGCTGATTGTTGTTTGTTGTTGTTGCTGTTGCTGTTAGCCAGGAGTCTTCATCACCTCTGTTGTCTCTTTGTTCACCTGAAGTCCTATCACTTATGGATGCTTCTTCTGGCAACTTGTTGCTTTTGACTTGGAAATCTTCCAGTTTGTGGGAAAGCAGACATAAATATGTCATCGACGAAGTCCAGATCCTCCAAGTTTTTTGTGTGAGTCCATTTTTTACCTGTCTCCTCGTTGTCAAGCCCGCTGTTTGTCGCATTATCCAGTCTACCACAATCAGGAAAGTCATTGGAGATAGTAGGTAGCCAGTTTGGTCTTACTCTCATTTTCACTCCGAAGGATTCCGTGAGTTTTCCGTTGTAGATTATTTGGCATGAAGCATTGTTGCACAACTGTTGGATGAAGTTATAATTGTTGGCGGCACTCCGTAGTAGCGAAGTAGTTGCTAAGTAACCTCTCGATCAACGCTATCAAAGGCCTTTTCAAATAAGATGAAGGTGGGGTAGAGAGGCGACTACCATTCCAAACTTTGTTCAATGATGATCCACAGTGTTGCGATTTGATCGAAGCATAACTTGTTTCTCCTGAATCTAGCCTGTTCCGGTCGAAGCTTTTTTATCTAGGGAATGTTTGATTCTCTTCAGAATGATGTGGCATCAGCCAATGAATAGGATAAAATTCAAGTCTTTTAATTATATCCGCTTAATAATACGCACGACATATAAGCTATATATTCCCAGCTGATTAATTCATCAAGATATCCCCGTATACCTCAGATTTTAGGCAGGTTAGAAATGTAGAATGTAATTAGCTAGTTGTACAGCACTCTGCCAAGGTGTGTGCTGAGCTACTAACTGACATTATTTTGATTTTCCCCTTAATTTATCTTCCTTTTGATTTTCATTTGTTTTATTCCTTTTAGTTCTGAGAGAAACATATGGCTTCCCGTCGGAGCTTTGAAGTTTCAGTAGCGGTGGTGTTTTCTACGGGGTGGGACTGCCAATCTCATGCTCAACCTTCCCTCTCTACTGGACTTACAGCTGAGCAAGGTTCGGGAGTACTTCAGCCAGGAATCGGACTCGGTCCGAGTGCGTGATTGGCAACCAACCCAATGGGATCTAAGCGCTGGTTCACTGCTGATAGTATCGACCCCTACGGAGGACTACTCTTCAGCAGTATGACGAGTGCCAAACACGATAAAGCGTGCATTTGGGATTCCCTTGCTCACTTACCTTGGATTGTGTTCAATATAAATACTTCTATGATATTGATTATTCTGTAGAAACAATTCACTGAGTTCCGACATATGAGTTGTAACTGTTATCTGTTATGCATTCATAAAATGAGAAAACAAAAGAGGAGAATTAATTTGTTCGAAAACATACAAACATTAATGAGAATAAATTTCAGTGAAATGACTTTTTTCGATTGTGTAAATGTTTAATCTTATCTGAGTCATGTAAATTCGAATGATAAGAGAAAACAAGCCATAGAACATTTTATCAACCTGGGTAAACATAATTAGGAAATATTTCATTGTCTCAACTCACCAATTTATCCATTCACGCAAATTTGTTGTAAAAATTTTAATTTGTTATCTAAAGGATAATTTTTCTCACGCAATATTTATAGAACTTAGTTTTATATTGATTTTTTCTAACAGATTTCAGTGATTTATGAAGCTACCAGAACACAGAACACCACGAGCCTCATATGACGTTAGGCAGAGCTCGATATTATTGCTTGGAAGACAACCTCCAAGTGCTAAGTAAACTTTCCACTCGTGTTGTAATCATTATTTCCCTACCACGTTAGTGACCTGAGAAACCAAGGACAGCCGCAGAAATTATATATACATATATATTAAGTGCGTGGGTAGTTCAGTGGCAGAACTCTCGCCAACCACGGTTCGGGGATAGATCCCCGCCTGACTCACTCGTTTACCTGTCTAAGCTGGCAGTATGGCAGGCAAAGAGGAAAGGTTGAACATGAGGTTAGCAACCCCACCTTATGAAAATAAAACCACTGCTACAAAAACTCCAAAGCTCTAACTTGAAACCCTATTTTCCACTCGGAGCTTAAAAGAATACAATAAATAATTAAATTAATACTATATTAGCTGAGAGAGAGTAGTATATGTCTCTTTATTACTTACAAGCGCTCCAATTATAACAAATATGATAAAAATCCGACCTAGATAACTCGTGCATACAATATCTCCATAGCCAACTGTAGCCAGTGTTACAAGAATCATGTATAAGCAGTCCAAATACTCAATGTTTCTGTGCACATTATCAACAGTCCAGAAATTTCCAATTCTTTCAAGCTGTAAAACAAGTGAAGAAGATATACAATGTCAAATAAGTGAATATTTTAGGGTGTGAATTTCATATGTACAGTAATCTGTTCAATATTCATTTAGCAATAAAAACTAAAGAGCTAGGAGAACTAGTAACTATTCTGTACAATAGGGAATCACTGAAAGTGTAAATCTCAAAGCCGTGGTGTTACTAAATATAAAGCTGGATGGTAAAAATGGAAACTAGTTTATAATAAGTCCTAGATTGTGACTTCTGTGAAGTTTCCGTCAGCTATGCCTCTTGTTCACCTGTATGATGATTAAATAAACGCTAGACAAGTAAACTTAGAGGTTGATTCAGTCTAAGGTGAGCCGCACCCGCAGCAACAATCGTTTAAAGACGATTAGTGACTGTCTGCCTCATCGATCGCTTAGATAACTTATATATGAAGCTATAATGATAAAATGTATTTGTTACCTGTGGACATTAAGTTTAACTATATCTGTCATTGATATTGCTGACACTACTGGAAATTAAGGGAAGTATACACATGTTTAATTTATATTATAACAGTACTAGACTATATTCCTCAAGAGGACTAACTATCCCCTTTATTTCGTTTACCTAGTCTTCGTCTTTCACCTACTCCTTATCTTCAATCAACTATCTTGTCTCATCGTTATCAGTACGCCGCCATAATTGTTGCCAATCAAAAAAGAATCGTCAACTTACTACAAGTATAATCCCAGCTATAATCGTCCAGGCAGCCAGCAGTTTAAATATTAAATTCACAGAACGTATAGAACGCTCCTGATTTATTATTCTTAATAGGACTAATGATTCAGGGATTTTTGTAAGTCTGGCGAAGTATAAAAATCCAAATGCTGCAATGAAAAGAAAATATAGAAACGAAAAAGTCAAAATTTATTCTATCAATGAGCCTTAACACCATATCGTTATTTACTTGATAGAAGAAGGAAAAAAGATTTTGCTGACACCTAGCAGTCCCATGTGAACAAGCAATTCTATCATTCTTTTTAGCACAGTAAACTTATTGATTTATTGCTAAATTCTGAAGAAATGTTTTGGACAACTCATTGATTCGGTCCTTGGTTGTTGCCACAAATACATATACGCACTATTCATCCCCTATTACCTTCTATCGAAAGAACACAGAAAATAACCCAAACTTATCTAGCTGAATTAAGAATTGAACCTAGTTTGTCCAGAAAAAGGCACAGAGGTCGTAATAACGAACAAATTCGATGACATCAGAAAAATGACAATCCTACTTCACACTGAAGTCAGCGCTGAAGATGATATCTTGGAAGACTGAAGGTTTCAACAGTTGAACTACTCAGCTCAGAGAACACAACTACTCTAAAACCCTCCCGTCAGACAAGACCAAGCTCTGACTAAAAGGACAACTGAAAGGACAGAAAACCTCTTGAAGAACTCACTGGAGAAAATGGAAGATAAGTCACATGACGTCAGAGATTAAAGGGTTAGTAAGCCAGTGCAGCTCAACTATTCCAAAACTACATAGGCTACCTCTAGCGAATAAGTATTTCCTGCTTCGAGTTTTCCTTGAAATGACCACCAGATCACCAAACCACCAGTGAATAAACAGGTATAGTCTTCAGGATACCTCTCATTTTTCTATGGATGTTACTTTTCTATCCCTAATTATTCCCAAAACTAAGATGACTTGCTTCAGATGTGATGGCATTAAACCCAACAATCTTGAAATCTTTCTTTTTACAGCTTACCTGGAGAAACTACCCTTCAAATGCAAAAAACAAAACAGTATACATCTCCTTCATTCTGGATGTTAAAAGATAGGATGGCTGTGGGCTTCTCTTCTGAGTCTCTTCTTACCGTTTATTAAAAATGATGTCCTAAACCCTTTAGTAAGTTAAATCCATCTTTATAAGAATAAGCCGACGACACTCGCGATTATAATGAAGAATTCATCCCAAGCAATCTCCTGGAAGGATTCTAAAGATTCGTTCTTAAAATACGGGAAAATGAATTGAACCTCAGTAAGCCATCTAAATTTATTTACCAAAATCTGAAGGAAATGCTACGACCGGAAAAGATCCAATTCATCCTTAAGAACACTTTCTTCAGTGGCATAGAGTCGAAGGTAGTATTACAGCCAAGATGCAGAAAAAATCTCAAAAATTCCCTACAAAGACATTTTACACAACTACCTTGATAACCACATTTCTAATGTCCATACTTTCTAGACTCATTAGGCAGTTCATATTTCTTACATTCATTTGATCAGGTCATTTTCACGTTTATAACATGGTACCAACTTCTGTTTCACAATCCTTACTTATGCATTCACTTCTAGATTATTTTTACATTAAGCAAAACGTTCAATCCCTGGTAGGTGAGCACTGATGAAGAGTCCCATACTAGGACGAAACGGCTGTCTAGGGCTCCCTGGTTTTCAGTGATCTCTTCAAATGATGCTGGTTGGTGACGAAAATCTAACAGCTGAAATTAATCCAAAATCATCACAAACCCCATAATCTGAGTACTGATCACCAGCTCACTGATGGCTACCGGATAGATTTCCTGAAGTTGTGACAGCAAGTTGTGAACAGTGTGGTGGAATGGATTTTCATTGATGTCATTGATGAAAGTAGCGCTATATCATGAGCTGACGAAGTTAGAGTTAAGGGATCACTGAATTCCAGCCCGAGTGGCTGAATAGTCAACCAGCTTGGCCTCGTAACCTGAAGGTTCCGGGTTCTATCTTTGGTGGGGTCGGAGATGCATACTGATGATGAGTCCAAACTAGGTCGAAAGAGTTATCCAGTGCTCCCTGGTCTTCATTAACTTCTCTAACTGATGTCAGTTAGTCATGAACATCTTACAGTTTTAAGTATTTTCTGGAATTTAATACCATCATTTGACTGAATAATTAAAATAACTGGTTCAACTTTTTATTGAATATAAATACAACTGTACATCTTCTGAAAATGATCAATCAAAGTGGAAAGCTTTCTTCTGTGTCACTTCTTCTTTATATGACTGAATGCAGGGAAATTTCCGTTCAATAAATTTCTATTCATGAATAATCCCCTTTCAGATATGAATGAAAACAAATGCTGAACTACGTGTTTTGTTTTCATTAAATTTCTGATACCTTTCAAATTTGAGTTCTAAAGACATTTGCTTTATCTTATATATGACCCTACACTCATAATATTGCCAGTGAAGACTAACACAGACTGAGTAAGATGTGAATATGTTGGACCAGAAGTGAAGCAAATACACTTTGTTACTCAAGCTTCCAGTTTAAGCGGTGACAATAAACGCACAGAGAAGTTGTATCATTTGAAATTCTAAAGAACACTGAAATATTCCATAAAAACCACAGGTTCAGTCTGCCATAAGTGCAGAAAAAAGGTATATATCATAGGCCGTTGAATCGGGTCCCAGTGGCTGAATGGTATACGAGCTCACTAGCCCTGTAACCGGAAGGTCCTGGGTTCAAACCCCAGTGGGTGCTTGCTGCCGATGATTCCCAAACTAGGATGAAACAGCTGTGCAGTACTCCGTTGCTGGTTTTCAATGGTTCTCTAACTGACATCAATCCGTTGTCAAACTCGTAAAAACAAACCTAATCCTCACTAACCAACTCTTGAAAAAAAAGCCGAGCATTGACAATTTGCGACTGTATAAAAGATACGTAGACGACATATTCATTATTTGTGACAACAACAATGACCCCAATCTACTGCTGAAGACATTTAACTGTTGCTATCCAGCAATAAAATTCACTCTTGAAATGGAAAACGAGTCAAAAATTCCGTTTCTTGATGTGGAACTAACAAGAAGAACTGATGGGAGCCTAAGAAGATCGATCCATAGAAAACCTACTTGGAATGGTCAACTAACAAGCTTCTATAGCTGGGTACCCATTCAACAAAAGCGGAATTTAATTAAATCACTTGCTACCCGCATCCGACGCATCTGTAGTCCCGACGTTCTGGAAACAGAATTAGATATTCTAAGAGAAATTTTCATCCAAAATGGTTACCCAATAAGATTTATCGACAAAAATATCAAACCAAGAATTCGGAGAAACGAAACTTTGACTGCGCCTAAAAAGAAAATCTACATGAACTTGGATTTCAAGGGAGATTTAGCAAGCGATATTCTCAAGAGAAGGATCACATCATCTCTGAGAAGAACATTCTTTGCAGCAACGCTAAGAATAGTGTTCTCCAGTCGCCCACTGATCTGCAGAAGCCTCAAGGACAAGATCCCGCATCTGACCACTTCTATGTGCATATATCAGTTCACCTGCTGCTGTGGAGCCAGGTACATCGGTCGTTCGACGCGCACCCTGTCCAAGAGGATTCAAGAACACTATCCAGCATGGTTGCGAAAAGGAAATAGTGGTGCAATAAGGAGTGCGATAATTGAACACCTAGTTAACACTGATCATTCCATTTCAACAAGCGCCTCCTTCAAAGTAATCTACAGAGTCAAGAATAACCTATCAAAGGCAATACGGTTTCGTCTTCTTTTGTATCGCTGAAGCTCTGGCCATTCACATAGAAAAACCGGAGCTGTGCATTCAAAAGAGGATTACTCAACCACTTCTACTGTCTTGGTAACAACTTTTTTGATTTGATTTTTTGATTTTGATGACTTAATTTTGTTTCTTTGCCTGTTCTTTAATTGCTTATGATTCTTGTATTCATTTAGAACTCTTACGTAATTTCGTATTATCTACTTTGTTCCTATGTGCATCCTGAGTAAAACTCACTCATCAAACTATTCATATTATTATATAACTTCTTTTAACAACTGTTTGTGACAACTCATCACCTTTGTTACTACCCTAATTTCATTAACACCTAATTTTCTTGACTAATTTTGTATTACGTAACTCCAATTACCCATCTTCACCTGTTTAGTTAAAATAACCATAACCAATTGTATTTTTGTTTGACAAACTTAATGTACACATGCATACAAAATAACACATATATATTTGCGATTATTGTACAGCTAAGAAAATGAATTCGCCGAAAAGAGACTCTTCGCTGATCTACGTGTTTTGTTTTCGTTAAATATATATATATATATATGTATCTAAAGAGAGACAACGAATATATCTTCAGAAAAAATGATTTCATTTCACAGCTTGTCATCAGCTGCTAACATCCCAAAAATGAAATGAATTACTATGGATGCAAACGTATATGACCAACTTCAAAATTATTTCAACTCAAATGACATAGTTGTGGAACACGAGATATGGATATACGTCGGTGGCACAGCGGTTAGGACGCTCACCGACCATGCACATGGTGCGGGGTTTGATCTCCTGCCGACGCACTCATTTGCCTCGCCAAACCAGCAATAAAAATCTAGTAAAGAGGAAAAGTTGGGCATGAGGCTAACAACCTCATTCTGTAAAAATAAACACTGCTACAGAAACTTCAATCCTCTAGCTTGAAGCCCTATGTTCCACTGGGAACGTGAAGGGAAAAAAAAAACCCACAACTAGAGTTTATTCTTACATCATGTGATAAAACATTCGAAAGGAGAGGGTGCGGGGGTGAAAAACACTGGTTAATAGAAGTAAAATGATTACGTGAACAAAGAGTTAAGTAAATTGAAAGATCAATAATGAGTTCAACTCAGTTATAAAAAGATTTCAACATAATCTCTATATACATAAAGATAGTGTGATTAATCTCACACTACTCTGGAACTAACGTCTCTACTATGTGTTTGTGTTTTTGTTGCATCACCAAGTTTTTGACTACAATTCACTGAGTTGAACTCATTATTTATCTTATTATTTAACTGTTTGCTTACATAATAATTTTACTTCTGTTTACCATTTCTTCTTACTCCCACCCTCTCCTATCGAACGTTGCATCACATGATGTATAAAAATGAACTCTAGTTATGGAATTGTTAACTATCTCTGATTCATATCTCTTGTTCAACAACTAAAACACTCTGAGATGAAACAGTTTCGAAGGTTGTTATGTATTTTTGCATTTATAATGACTCATGTCATTTTAGGGTGTTAGCAGATGATGAAAAGTAGTGAAATTAAAAAATGAGTCCTTTTCCATTGTGCGAATACATTTGTTCTCTATTTGTTCTACGTGTGCAGAAACATATTAGATAGGATTTAATGAATAAGGCAGTCATTACTAGTGAAAACAATATTTTCCTAGTTTGGGACTCATCGGTAGTACTCACCCACCATAGGGGTTCGAACCCAGGACCTTCCGGTTACAAAGCTAGTGAGCCCGTTGACCATTCAGCCATTACGACCCAATTCAATGGCTTATAACTTCTAATTTCTACCAATCCGTGATTTTTAGGGCGATCATCAACCAGTGTCATTGGTGGGAACTCCACTCTCACTTCCGACTGGATGGACCTCACTGGTCATGACTTCTTCCTGGAACTCCAGGAAACTCCGTCCTGTAGCTGGTTACTAACGAGCATCAGACTAATTTTCAAGAATTAGTTTGTAAGGATTCTATTTATTACAGCTTAGACCACGGGAGTGAGTATGGATTTCCCGCCAATGGCATTGGTTGGTGGTCGCTCTAAAACTGACGAATTAGTAGGAGTTAGAATTCATGGACTGGTCAGTGAATCGGGTCCCGGTGGCTGAATGGTCACCGAACTTCCTAGCACTGTAACCGGAAGGTCCTGGGTTCGAACCCCTATGGTGGGTGCGAACTGCCGATGATTCCCAAACTAGGCTGATGAAACAGCTGTTCAGTACTCCGTTGCTGGTTTTCAATGGTTCTCTAACTGATTTCAATCCGTCGTCAAACTCGTGATAACAGTATTATTATTTGGGATTATATCAATAGCCACGGTCGAGACGTTAAACCTGGATGATAAACATGTCGGTTGTGTAATACACACAACCCTTCATGGAATGCACATAGTTTTCAGAAAGTAGGGGATATTTTTAAACGCACTGAACCACAATAAAGTATTATGATAAAAAGATAAAGTTAGTCAGTCAAAACAAAGTGAATAGTTTTTAATGTGATAAAAATGGTGGCTAAAAGTGAAACCAAATCTGCATCACTACATTATTTATGGTCGTAGAAAAAGTGTGAAGCCTAAGAAAGCAGAAAACTAGTGGGATTTCTGTCATCAAGAGAGAGAGCTATAAAAATACTGGCTGAACTGGTTGATTGCCAAGTGTCTGTCGGAATTTTGAGAACAAAGGTTTTTCTTTTCCCTAAAATTGGATGTTTGAACATACTGTCGCACAAGTATATGAAACACTCATCCCAGGGTTAATGCATTTTACTTGTATAACAGTAAACGAATTCGTCGAAATACGCAGGAGACTAGACAAAATGGGGACATCTCTTATACAAGTGAAAACTGACAGACCACGGCTTAAGTCCTAGCTAACTTCTGTTTTAAAGAAGGTTCTAGAAAGCGAATCACTCATTTGGTCACATTAAACTTCTTACTTAACATGTATTTAATTGGTGGATGGTGACTAGCAGTGGAATCCAGGACAACACGCATTTCGTCCTATTTGGACTCGTCAGCTGGATGTGCCTGCATTTCTCAGTGGGTGATGATGTTCCCACTGAGGCTCGAACCCAGTGCTCATAGCTTCAAACGCCAAAGCGTTATCCACTAGACCATTTGGGCCACGAGAGCCACTGTCTCTTGTGCGTCGGTGGCACAGTGGTTAGGACTCTCGCCGACCATGCACATGGTCCGGGGTTCGAACCCCTGCCGGCGCACACCCGATATCTATGGTATGCCTGAATTTGGGCAACCGATATCCATGCTGAAAGTTCCACACTTGTACTGAAAATACGGTGTGGAAATCAAGCTGTAAATCAAAAAAAAAAAAAAAAATATTAACTGAATTGAATTTTAGATTTTCCCGTCGATTGACTGGACCGAAGTGCTCGGTCTCGGGTTGACATGTCGGCTTCTTGAGCAGATGCTTCGACGATGTCTGGGCATTGAATTAGTATTTAATTGGTGGATGGTGACCGACCACTTCGGTCCAAACAATCGGCGGGAAAATCTAAAATTCAATTAAATTAATACGACCCGTTGCACAAGAGACAGTGGCTGTCGTGGCCCAAGTGGTCTAGTGAATAACGCTCTCGCGTTTGAAACTTCGGCCACTGGGTTCGGTGGGAACACCATCACTCACTGGGGAATGCAGGCACATCCAGATGACGAGTCCCAGATAGGACGAAATACGCATTCTGGATTCCACTGGTAGTCACCATCCACCAATTTAATTCTAATTAAATACCCAGACATCGTCGAAGCATCTGCACAAGAAGCCGACAGATATGTCAACCTGAGACCGAGCACTTCGGCCTAATCAATCGACGGGAAATTCTAAAATTCAATGAAATTTCTTACTTAACATTTTTTTTCTAAATTTTTATTCAACTTTCATGTTTCCAACCACAAATGCTGATAACACAGTTAAAAAATACTGAACATTAACTGAGCATTTTACTTACACACATGACAATTATTTTTAAAAATAAAAATGGAATTGATAAAGTTCAAAACACACAAAAATAAATATGGGTCAACTTACTAAACTGATAATTTTTTGTTATAAATGTTGAAAATATGATGAATATTGTACAATGATCAATTAAAGAATAGATTGACATCCAAGTTGCGAATAAATCATTCGAAGCAATTGCCTATATAAACATATATATTGGCATACATTTAAACAACAAAAACAAAAAAAAATAATTAAAATATTGAAAAACAAATTTTAGTACATTGAATTTAAAAGTATTAATACAAGAATGAATTATAAAAATTAAAAGATTGTGTCTTAAAAACTAATCTCCACCATCATTGTTACACTAACAACAATTTGGGTCCAAGTCCCAGTGGGTGCGTACTGCCGATGAATGCCGAAACTAGGATGAAACAGCAGGCTGTCCAGTACTTCCTGGTTTTCAGTGGTTCTCTAACTGGTATCAATCCCTGATCATTTCGTAAAAATATAACTAACCCTTACGAACGAAACTATAGAAAAGTAATCTGATGCTCGTTAGTGACTTGCTACAGGATGGAGTTTCCTGGAGTTATAGTGAGAAGTCGTGACCACTGAGGACCAATTAGATGGCACGTGTGTGGATGGATGTCCCACCGACGAAAATGGTTTGGGTCACACTAAATTACGAATTGGTACAAGTTAGAATTCATGGGCCATTCATTGAATCGGGTCTCAGTGGCTGAATGGTATAGGAACCAGCTTGCCTTGCAACCGGAAGGTCCTGGGTTCGAGTCCCAGTGGGTGCGTACTGCAGATGATTCCCAAGACTAGGAAGAAACAGCAGCTGCCCAGTACTTCCTGGTTTTCAATGGTTCTCTAACTGATATCAATCCCTGATCAACTCGTAAAACATAATTAACCCTTACAAACCAAACTTTAAAAAAGAATAAATTAAAAATAATAATAAATTTAATTCATAAATTACTCTTAAGATAAACATTAGTAGAAAGATTGAATTACAACTCATTTCTATGTAGAATCTTGATTGTCCATTGAATGGTATACAAAAGTCACGATCAGATCTGTAAAGGAAAGATTAAATGATCATGATAAGATGCACTTACTCATATGTATTCCATAAGTAGATTGTCATACACACTAGACATGATAAACTTCTTAACAATAACTGAAAAGAGAAGAAATAATCGTTTAGAAAATTTAAGTACATTCAATTTTAAAAGTATTAATACAAGAATGAATTATAGAAATTTAAAAAATTGTGTCTTAAAAACTAATCTCCACCATCATTGTTTCACTAACAACAATTTGGTTTCGAAATTCTGTCGATAGTATCCAGTCATAGTTGTCGAGACGTTGGTACAAGTACAAAACCCAGGTGGGTAATTACCTGGGATTCTAGTGGGAAGTCATGACCAGTAGGGTGAGGAAAAATACTCGCCGAATACATTGTCTAGCGGCCGCGCTATGTCGTGAATCGGCAGAAATTAGAATTCATGGGCTGGCCATTGGATCGAGTGCCAGTGGCTTAATGGTCTACGATCTCGCTAGCCTTGCGACCAGAAGGTCCTGGGTTCGAACCCTGATGGGTGCGTATCGCTGAAGAGTTCCAAACTAAGGCGAAGCAGCTGGCTGTCCAATACTGCCTGTAGGTTTTTCAATGGTTCTCTAGCCGATGAAATCCTGTAATAAATCATTGCCTATAATCATCCATTAATCTTTTATAGAAACAATTAATGTAAATTTATGTAAATCAAACCGTACAAGTTAAGTGATGGAAAAGACTGATTACTCAGCTGAATGTTCTGCGTATCGGTGAATTCTCTGAGCAGGAATGATTTAACTAAGAAACCTTTATTATCTTACTAGACAGCATTTTCAGAGAACGCGACAGTACCAGCAAATCGCATTATTATTATTGTTATTAGTATTACATTAGTATTTACTAATCAGTGAAAATAACCAACCAACAACAACAGCAGCAACATCCAGCGCCAGTCACCATCAACTGGAGGGATTTGAAAGAGGTTACTTCTTTCACTTATCTAGGGAGCATTGTCTCAACTACAGGAGGAACGGACGAGGATGTCAAATCGAGAATCGGGAAGGCGAGAAACACATTCATCAACCTGAAACCAATCTGGAAATCTTCCTCACTCAACTCTGCATCAACAACAAAATTCGGATTTTCAGTATAAGCGTCAAGTCAGTTTTGCTATACGGATCAGAAACTTGGCCAGTGTGTCACAAAGAATATTTCCAACAGCCTGTTGCGGACCTTTATCAACAACTGTCTTCACTGGCTCTATATTGAAGATCAGATGGCCGGAAAGAATCACCAACAAGAAACTATGGGAAGAAACAAAACAAGAACCAATCGCCCAACAAATATGCAGGAGAAAGTTGAGATGGATTGGACACTCGCTGAGGAGGCCGTTGGGTGACATAGCGCGTCAGGCCAGTGCTCGAGTGGAATCCGAAAACGAAGTGGCGAGTGGGACGTCCAATGGTGACATGGAGGAGATCGTGTGAAGAGGAGCTGAAACAGTATGGACTAACATGGATGCAGGTGAAAAGTACAGCGAAAGACAGAAGCAAGTGGAGACGTGTAGTTGAAGCCCTATGTTCCACTAGGAACCCAAGGGAACAATAACAACTGTTCATCTTGAATTTAATGAATCTATTTACTTTTCATATCATACGTAGGATAACCTATTGGAACTTTATGGCTGAGATAGGAGAAACAGTATTCATTCTGTTTTATCTTTTAGAGTAAGGATAAAAGCTATCTCGAGATGTTTTCATGCATAGTACAGTAAACGCTGCAACAGATACTCTAGCTGCTTGAAAAAAGGTTATATAACACATTTACAACAGCCAAACGTAACATCTGGTGCGATTACAGCATTCCTCTAGGCATATAATGCAAAATCAACTATCTGTGGAAATTTAATTCCCAGTCGATCACCTCTGTTCTCACTGTTTAAGTATACTGAGAAGAAAGGGAGTTAACTCTGGTTTGGAATAAGTTATATCCTCGTTCATCTTTTCTTATTCGATGGGTGGAAATGCAAGTACACTCAGGAGCCTAATATGTATGATAATTACGTTATGGAATGCTAGCAAGACAAACATAGAAAAGTAGTAAAATTTTTTTGATTATAGCTTGATTCCACTATGTACTTTTGGTACAAGCATGTGATATCAGTAGCCCAAATTTTGCAAGCCAACCATTGATATCAGGTGTGCCTCGGTAGGGGATCTAACCCTGGAATTGCATGGTCGGCGAGAGTCCTAACCACTGTGACAATGACGAACAATAAAGGAAGGACCGTGGGGCCTCCCCCACCGACAAAAACTGCAAGCCCGAGTGCACCCGATTAGGGTCCGTCGCGAGTTTTAACTCACTGAGGTTCATTGGCGAGCCTCCACTCGGGGTCAGAGCATTCTTGATCATCCTGAACCCGGCGCAATTAAAACCGTACTTTATATTCAATTTTTTACAATTTTTAAGTTTTCATGATTATCATGTTTTCATACCGTAAGCCAGCACAGTTCTCAAAGTTTTCCTTAAAAATGTAATCTTGAAAAATGCCTAGTTCTTTACATAAATGATTTCAAGATGTACATTTATTTGTCAGTCATCTTCATTATCATGAAATGTGTTAAGGAGATATCTGTTCACTATGACGCAGAACACTGTAATACTCTACAACTTTAATGAATGAAAACAGGACAACTATCGAATCATAATGTGGATGACTCAGTTGACATATGCCCTGCATAATATGTGGGTTTTCTTTAAGATCCTATCCTTAAAGAAATCACACTGCATAGACTAGTTTTCAAGGGTTGGTTTGTAAGGATTAGATTTCTTTATACGAGTTTGACCACGGATTAATATCAGTTAGAGAACCATTGAAAACCAGCGAGGAGTACTGGACAGCCAGCTGTTTCATCCTAGATTTAGGAATCATCGGCAGTACGCATCCACGACTAGTCATAAGTACTAAACAAACAAAGAGTAACAGTGTGTTTTAGAATAGATCCATGCTTGATTTTAATTCTATAAAATGAGAAGTGGGGCTTAAACCATGATAGAATAACGATGAAAAATATTTTATAGCATGTTACATAGTGTGGTTGCAAAATTTACAGTCAGTTAAGCTTTAATATTAGAAATCAGCGGTAGCCTACATATCTTGATTTTTCTTCCGGTCGATATTTTTCCGTTATACGTCGTTATCTACAAATATTTTAGACATTAGCACTTGTTATACATATCACTATGATAAGTGATCAGTTTCCTAGGCTTGTGTTTCATGGATACTATTCAATGAGTCAATCCTAACATCATTAATTATCAGCTTTACAATCAAATTATTGTTAGTCTCATTTCCTATCATGTAAAAATTTCGTCTTACTAACATTAGTAATTAGAAAATATCATATCAGAAATATATTACATGTGATTATGTATAATATATAAAGAAAGAAAAATTACCAAAATTCGTCCAAAGTAATTTTTCCCAGTCAATATAGTCTCAGCATACTTTGGTATCAATCTGGTCCTTTTAAATCGTAACAATTTCTGAAGGTTTTCTTCATCTATATCCTTTCGCTTTCGTCTTCTTTGGCTTACTGTAATCACTCCGATAAACAGTGAACCAAAAAGTAAAATTCCACAACATATTGAAAAGAGAATGATAGCTTGAATTTCACATGAATTAATGTCTAATATTGTCTGGCTCATTTGGAATGCATCCATTGGAGTAATAATATTCAAGTGAATTTTCTGGGGTAATTAAAAGTCCGAAATATGAAGAGTAGATTTCTCATCAACTTTCGCCTGAAAAATGTGCTGCTCAGTTTCTCTTGTTCGCTTTTTAAACTCAGTGTCATTCAATAATTATAATAGTAATAATAATAATGAAATTACAAGTTTGACTCACATGAATTGATGTGTCAAGGTCATGTGCGGCTTAACATGCTCGCTAATGACACTCAAGTTGACCAATTATTCTAATGGATCAACTACATATGAAATCAGGCGAATTATGCAATATGATTGGTTGCCAGACAGTACAGTTAGTTGTAATCACTGTATGAATAAATGACAGTTAGTGGGTTCGATACAAAAAAAAACAATAACACGAAAGGTCAAGTGGACTACAACTCATAATGTCAAAGATCGGCCAATAAAGTTTAGGTTAGACCACGGATTGATATCAGTTAGAGAACTATTGAAAAACAGCAATGGAGTACTGCACAGCTGTTTCGTCTTAGTTTGGGACTCATTGGCAGCACGTACCCACCGTAGGGGGTTCGGACCCAGGACCTTCCGGTTACAGGGGTAGTGAGCTTGTATACCATTCAGCCACTGGGACCCGATTCAATGGCCAGTCCATGAACTCATGATTTTTAGCGCGACCACCAAGCATTGTCATCGGTGACACCCTCCCGGCTGGATGGACCTCACTAGTCACGACTTCTCCTTAGAACTCCAGGCAACTTCGTCCTGAGCCAGTCACTAACGAGTATCAGATTAATTCTTAAGAATTAGTTTGTAAGGATTCTATTTGATACAGGTCAGACCAGAGGTTGATATGTATTAGAGAACCATCGGAAACCAGGAAGTACTGGACAACTGTTTGATCCTAGTTTGGGAGCTGAACTGTGATTAATGAGTAGGTGTGTATTGAGTGGTTAGTAAATCCATTCCAAAAATACTATGCGCAGCCTAACGCATGTGAAACTTTCGAAGGCAAAGATTTTGAGAAGTTTGTATCTAAGTCTGTTTTACAGTATTTAAAAATAGTTATCGGAGCTTAGTTGTCAGCCTTCTTTAGATTTATTTAAGTCCTCCTTTCTCAATTGTGCCATTATGTCGTTTTCTTATCGACAAGTCGAGGAAGTGTATCTTGTACCATCAGTTGTAGATTTCATTTCCTTTCTCCCTATATTTCTTAGTGATATATCAACGAAAATAGGTCCCAGAGGACCTACCATAGTTACTGAACTAATCTATCTATAAACTTTATTATTGCCAAACTTCTGTTTATAAAATTTTAAAAAATGCATGTTCTTATTTTTATCGGCTGTCTGTATATGAAAACAAGTCTCGAAGTGAGATGTGTATATTTTATACTGCAAATTCTGTTCTTGCTTCTTCAAAAAATACATTTTTATAATTTCCATTATTTCTTTTATAGTTGTGCTTATATATATTTTTGTGAGCGTCAATGCATGTTATCATTACACTGTCAGTGCTTTTTGAAAGACAAAAGATGACGTTCCTTAATCTAAGTGCAATGCATAGTTGTTTTCTGCGCAAAACATTTTATATCCTTGTGAGGATATATATATGCCTAAGAAATACATTTTGAGTGTCAATGAATGAACACTCTGCCAAAATCGTAATTATATATGCATTCCATTTGAAAATGTGACTGAAAATAGATGTTTCTTCATGCAGCTAAACTCTAAAGTACAGTTGTTACTATTATTGCTTTCTTAGATTCTTAGTGGAATATAAAGCTACAGCAACACATTGACATTTCATCTCTTTTTTCGAAGTCCTCTTGAACTGGGCCCGCGATTGCCATCTCATCTCCTCCTCCTAACATTGTCTCTTCTATATCAGCATTGGAGGTGCAACTCGCCTTTCCCCATCTGGATTGCCCTCGAGGGTTTGCCTGTCTCACGATATCACTCAATGGTCTCTTCAGCACGTGTCCGACCCACCTCCATTTCCTTCTGCATATTAGTTGGGCAATATATTCTAGTTGTTAATTCTGGCCATTTCATCTTCAATATACAGCCAGAGAAGACAGCTGTTGATGATTGTCGGCAGCTGACTGTTGGTAATACTTTTGATGACGCGCTGTCCAATTTCTGACCCATAAAGAAGGAATGACTAACTTAACATTGGTGTCGAAGATTCGAATCTTGTTCTTTATGCTTCATACGGCAGATCTGCACTTATTTCAAAACAATAAAGGACCGCGTTACTTTTCCAATGATAACTTTGATATCCACGTTTGTTCTACAGCCTGCAGTTGAAAAGATACTGCATAGATAAGTGAAAGAGGTGACTTCGTTTAGATCTCTCCCAATGACAGTGATTGGTGCTTGTTTTTGTCGGTTAGGTATCTTCATCACTATAAGGAATACCCGTGAAGTTAAACCTTGTAAGGTAATGGCAAAAATGGCTAGTCTAACACAAATTACGTAGTAGAGATTTTAATTTCGAACTGAAATGATCACTGCGAAAAAAGGGCAACGGAAAAATGATATGACATCTAACAGTAATAATCTCCAGGCGTTTCTTTCATTCCTTTGAGTTCTGCATGGAACATAGGGCTTCAAGCACCGGCTTTGAAGTTTTAGTAACAGCGGTTGCTAGCCTCCCACTCAGCCTTACTTCTTTACAGGGCTTACTACCAGTTAAATGAAATTTGGGAGTGTGCTGGTCAGGAATCGAACCCAGACCAGATGTGTGGCATATAAATAACTATACACATAAATTCATCTAGAATAAAATAGAACTTCAGATTAGAGTAAGCAGTAAAAAAAAGAGAGTGAACTTCCAAAAGCCTTCAACTTTGCCAAATCAGGAATTAACCGACAAGTTTGTAAGATAGTCAAGAAAAATGTGTTTCTGCACAAATGAAGATTAAAGAGAATAAGTAATTATGTTTGAGACAGTGAAAAAAAGGACTTGTGAACCCTTTTGTAAAAATATTTCAACATCCCAATTCACTTTAAATCTACCACTGAAAGTATTGTCCACTGTAATTATAAAATCCAACTCAGAAAAGACAATGCAGATTTTCTTCACTATACAGAGCTGCATTGTAGTGCTTGGTGGAAGGCTTATGTGGATATACTGTTAGTAAAACAACGTTGACAGGTAGAGAATCAGTCTATTTCTTTTAAAATATCTAGTTAAAATAGGATCTATTCTAACTGCAATTCATCAGTGACTGTTTTCAGCATATTTAACTAGATACTCTTGACTCCTACTTCCCTATACCGAAATCTCACACAACCCATTTACCTTATTAAACATAAAAAAGTAGGAAGATACACTACCTGTCTGACATAAGGTGTTCAAGTATTATCATAGGTTGCAGATTTCATCACGAGCTGACATTCATTAGAGAATCATTGGAAAACCTACAGGGAGTACTGAACAGCTGTTTCGTCCTAGTTTGAAACTCTTCACCAGTACGCACCCACCGGGTTTCAAACTCAGGACCTTCTGGTTATAAGGCGAGCTAGGTCGTAGACCATTAAGCCACCGGGACTCGATCCAATGGCCAGCCCATGAATTCTAACTTCTGCAATTCACGAAATAGCGCGACCACTAGCCAATGTCTTCGGCGAGTATCTGTCCTCACACCCGACCTGATATACTCTACTGGTCGCGACTTCCCATTAGAATCACAGGTAACTACCTAACTGAATAGAGTAAGTCACCAGTGAGCATCTCATCGATATTCAAGTGTTGGTTTGTAGGGATGAAACGCTTAAGTGCATACGATAGATAACTACTAAAAGCTTTTTTTAATTTCCACAATCTATTTCTGAAATTCTCAAAAAACGTGAAAATAAACGCCTGCAGGTACACAAATTCTTTTCACTCCAATGGATAATTCACCTGAAATAATAAAATTTAAACCAGCCACTTAGAAAGTGATAAGTGTCAAATTTATCAACAACTTTGTGGAAATAGAATTAATGAGGGTAGAACCAATGGATTAGAATTCATGGGCCATTGGATCGGGTCCCAGTGGCTTAATGGTCTACGAGCTAGCTCGCCTTGTAACCAGAAGGTCCTGGGTTCGAACTGTGGTGGTGGATGCGTACTGATGAAGAGTTCCAAACTAGGATGAAACAACTGTCCAGTACTCCCTGCAGGTTTTCCAATGGTTCTCTAACCACTGTCAGCTCATAATAAAATCCTGTAACCAATCAATCAAATCCCTACAAACCAACATTTGAATATTATTATAGGTCTTTGAGAAGGAAAATGTAATTCAACTTTTACACATTTACTGATTTTCTTTGTCTAGTTTGCATGTGATCCTTTAAAACTAAAAAACTGGTCCGAGCACGTACAGTTTAATCGGTTTATAAAAATGGTTCATTTCGTTAACTGAATCTCATTTCAAACTATAAATAATGACTAATTCACCTGATCCATTGATTTGAACACACAGGTTTACTTTTAAATGCAAATGAGGCTGGTGTGAGTATTGCGGTAAGAGTAGACAACTGGTACTTTGGAATAAAGATAAACCAATGGATGAGCTAAGGGAGAAAGTAAAGCATGTTTGGGGTTACCACCAACCTTGATTACTTAAGACCCGCTTAAGAACATTAAATCATAGAATAAATATGTAAGAATTTCTGGGATGTGATGACTAATGATGAAACAAGCGTCTGTGTGTAAGCTATCAGCTGAGAATAGATCTAATCATAGCATATCATCTAACAGAATGCACGCATAAAGACGAGTTGATCGTATTATCTCACTCGACAGACGCTTTTATTCATTTCTGTAATGAATCACTTCCCTTCTTTTCCTTTAAAGAGATGAAGTTCATCAGGAAAATCACGCTCACAGAAGGTATCTCAAGTGAAATATTCAGATAAAAAGCAATCGAATTCAGAAACACATGCACATGGATTATCATTACACGTTGTTACTGTTCCATTGGGTTCCGAGTGGGACAAAGGGTTCCAGCAATACATCTCCATTTT